GATAGGTAACTATAAATAGTAACGAAAGTGCTCAGTATTGTAAAACACTCAAAACAACATATATGTGATAATGAATAATGATATAGGTGACAAATATAAAATCAAAAGTAAACATATAAATCTCCTATGAAAATACAATCCGAATAATTGTATTCACCCATCACATGAGGTTCTAAGGCTATTTGAAAGCTGAAATTAAATGTGAGTGTATTGGCTGTATTTACTTTCTTTTTACATTAAACAATATCACACTATGGATGTTCTCTCTTTATATGGATCCTGTGGGAGCTGGTCATACTAATTATAGCCAAAAAAGGCGAATATCAGGCTGATCTTGACCTGGAAGGCTCATACGCATTTACCTGATGTGAGGTTGTTTGGAGGATATTATTAAGAGGAATCCGGTCTTGGAGGGTCCAGGAGTGATCCTAAAAGCTGGTAGGCCCTCTTTAGGGTCACGGTAAGGAGGTGAGGAGCCAATTTAGCTGTGTGTGGATTCATCGCCAGAGGCTACAATGCACAAGATCACCTTGCGTTTATTATTATTCAGATTGGTTTTCCATAGGGTAATTATTTGTTTAATTTTGATTGTCTATTTGCCACTAATATCATCATCATATAACAGTGAAAATTGCAAGCTCCTCCTACTCTGGCTCCTTGGCTTAGACTTCTTATCAGAATAATTCATATAAAATTAACATATGAGACTTGAGAAAGGCCAAAAACATTTTTGCCCCCCTAGCTGGAATCGCAATCCACAACACCCCGTGATTAAATGTCATGTATAGGAATGTATACAGATGGAAGCTTAAAGGTAAGTCAAGTTATATAGGGATGCTAGGCTTACATGATAGAATGGGTATGATGATATGTGTTTGGCTGGTACTTTACTGTACAGAACTTCTACATTAAGAAGCAATAAGTGTTATATGTTTTTTATATGTACGTGTTGTACAACTGTCTTATGTTAAAAAAAAAATGTACCTTAAAAAAGAAAAACAAAATCCCTAATTTTTTAATCATTATTTTAGTTGTACAGATCATCCCCTTAACATTTTTTAAATAGTGATAATATAAACATTATGTGTAATATGAGACTACACACTTGATTTTTCACAACCATGAATGATGTTGAATCATGAAACTCCAGCATAGAGCCATACAATAGAAGGATGCATTCTATTTTAAAGGATAATATGTGGAGAGAGAAAAAGGAGAGAGGCGCCTTCTAAGTGCAGTTTATTACAGTTTAATAAGCCAGAAATAGTACAAAACTCACAAAATTTAAGTGATTTGAAAGTCCATCAATAAAGAAAATCTCTGGGGACGTTTTCCGTGTCTTGCAGGGATCCGTCTGATTGCGATGATGACCACCGTAGGTGGTAAGGAAGGTCCCAGAGCACTGTGGATGGTGAGGAGTCTTAGGACACTGCCACCAGAACCAGAAGTGTCTGTGAGCAGAGTGAACGTCACACAGGAGGAAGGTCGGCAACAGAGAGAGAAACAAGGCTATGCCCTCGGAGCTAACTGCTCCTTCTATAGGCCTCACCATCCACAGCGCTCTGGGACCTTACTTACCGCCTACGGTAATCATCCCAATCGGACGGATCCCTGAGTTTTTTACTCTTTGTGGCTTATTAAACTGTAATACACTGCATTTAGGAGGCGCCTCTCCTTTTTACTTTCCACATATTATGCTCATAGAGTTGACTTACTCTGGGATGGCTGCCATCTAAGCGATTACACAGCTACAGATTTTATTGGACTTATGGACTTTCTGTACATTTTTCTATATGCCCACTGAATACGAGCCACTAGTGTGCTGAGAGTTTTTCATATTGTTGTTCTATTTTAAGGGATGTGGCTTTTTACACTGATGTTTAAGTCAATGTGTTGTATTTCTCTTTGCTTGTTGTTCTCTGCAAGTCTCTACGAGTTAAATAGTTCTTTTTATGTGAGCCCTTAGAGTGAAATATGAGTTGAAGCAATGCCTTTGGGAAGAAAGCCTCACAATTTACATTGTTCCCGTTTCATATTAACTTAACAGGAAAGAAACAGAATCTGTCAAACACTGTTCTAGAGGGAGACTTCATGAAAACAGCAGTGACAGGTTAAAAAAAAAATATACAGGCAAAGGACAAGAACAGGGATGAAGAAAGAAATCCACGGAGGAAACAATATAGAGTTAACTCAACGAAAGTTTAATTAAAACGTGACAAAGATACTCTGCCAGAAGGAAAAAAAGGAGAAAGGTGAATATAGGTTGAGAAGGGTAATTGGGGACTTGGTTTTTTAAGATACTGTACTTCCTCCCATCTCTCAGGGCTGATGAAAAGGTCAGCTACTTTGACTGTACATTCTTAGGTGGATTGGTAGTGTATTGTTGAAGGGAGAAAGACTGAAGTGATTAAGATATAAGAGGGGGAAAAGAAAAAAGAATGGAAGGCGGAAAGATACTAAATCTAATTTCTACAGAACAAAAGGAATAAGTATAATAAAAAACTCTCTCATTGTATAACTGAAAAGTTAAAAATAAAATAGTTTACATTTTTCATCGAGAACTGGAAATTTAGGGTTTTAAATCTTTGGCTTTAGTTACACAAGGGTACAAGCACACAGGTCTTTGGTCTGTGTTTGCTTTGGACTTGGAGATGCTATTTCCTGGGACACATTTGTCCATTAAATTTCTATTAGTTATGTGTTCCCATTCACACAGCATATCTAAAAAGTCAAATTTGAGAAAACCCCACCATGTTGGTTATGTGTTCTCATTCACACAGCATACCTAAAAAATAATTTAATAAACGTCTTACTGTTATAAGTGTTTGTTTGGCGCAGGCTTTGGGCAAAATGCAAACTACTATGAACAATTTGAAATGAGGGGAAGCACAGTCTGTCCCCACTGACAACGAGGGACATATTGGGGTTGATTTATTAAAACTAGAGAGTGCAAAGTCTTGTGCAGCTCTGCATGGTAGCCAATCAGCTTCTAACTTCAGCTTGTTCAATTAACCCCCCCGGCGGTATTCCCGAGTGTAGCTCGGGGTAAAGTTTCAGTACCACAAGCAGTAACCCAGAGTTACACTCGGGCTTACCATGCGGCGCTGCTCCGCAATCCCTCGATTACTTACCTTGCCCTGCGCTCCCGCGATGTCCCTCCTGCAGTGTCCCCGGCAATGTAATCCGGCGAATGCCGGCATCTGTCATCTGGGTTCCATCCCCTGCGAGCGTCAGGATGTACATTATTAAAAGGTTGAGCGTCAGGACGTACAGGGGAATTTGAAAATGACAAAAAGGGACATTCACTAAAATAACATAGTATTCCATTACTGTATCAAAGCATTTCACATACATTTTGTCCCTAGTGCTTTGTCCTGTTCCCTGCCTGCATTTTTACTGTTCTTTCTGTCTGGAAACTGAGAAACGTCCATGATGTCCAAAAAGCATCCCTTTAGGTCAAAAGTGGGTTTTAGATCAGCTAGAGAACAGCGATAGTAAATCAGAACCACTTGCAGAGTTGAGTGATAATGATTCGTGGGGAAATTCATCATCAAACACTGAAAACAATTTTGCGACTTCGCTCAGTGATGTGCGAACTTGGCGCTATATTTCAAATTTCAGTGTTTTTGGTTTGATTATATTATTGAATTAAATGTATTATTATATTATTATTTTTTATGATTATTTATTAAATTATAATTTATGATTTCATTTTTCAAGTTTTATCATATCCGGGATGTTTACTAGACTCTTGTTCGGACAGATTTCAGAGAGTTATTCCTAAAAATTACAGGCCTACAATAAAAAAATACATATTTCCATGCAAAAAAATGTACCGCTTTTGAGCACAGAAATATGGACATAATCAGACTGCTAGGGAGGTTAAGCTTGAAGATAAAAAAAAACCCTGGAAGCTGATTGGTTTCTATGCAGATCTGCACCAAATTTTGCACTCTCCAGCTTTAATAAATCAAGCCCATAGTCTCCCTTTAATCAATTTCCTGTTCACTCTGGACCTCTTCTATAGTTTTTGAAAATAAGCCCTTTTAGTTTAGCAACACACCCTCAGCTCTCTCTTAGTTTCACCTTTGGAGTATATGAGGCCAGGGAACTCCTTTCTCTGTCAAGTCAGCCTTTTATTTTTATTCATGAAGAACGTACGCATTTTGATGTGATGTCTTTGCCAAGATGTTTTTGTATATTTCACTTTTCACTGCCTCTATTGCTGTAAGTATTATTTAAAGGTTGACCTGTTATTTCTTGTTATGTATGTTTTGCTTAACCACTTGCCTTCCTGAGTATTTACCCCCCTTCATGACCAGGCCTCTTTTTGCTACTGCACTAATTCAACTGATAATTGCTCATTCATGCAATGCTGCACCCAAACGAAATTTACGTCCTTTTTTTCACACAAATAGAGCTTTCTTTCGGTGGTATTTGATCACCTGTGCGCTTTTTATTTTTCACGCTATAAAAAAAAAAAGACCGAAAATTTTTAAGAAAAACAATATTTTTTACTTTCAGCTATAAAAAATATATAGTAAACTCAAAGTTAGTTATAAATTTAGGTCAAAATGCATTCTGCTACATGTTTTTGGTAAAAAAATCCCAATAAGTGTATATTGATTGCTTTGCGTGAAAGTTATAGTGTCTACAAACTATGGCATAGATACTGCAATTTATGCCATTTTTTTTGCTATACAGCGCTGCGCTAGTTTAACGGACAATTGCATGGTCATGCAATAGGGTACATAAATGAAATTTATTTCCTTTTTTCATACAAATAGAGCTTTTTTTTGGAGGTATTTGATCACCTGTGCACTTTTTATTTTTGGTGCTATAAACAAAAAAAATTTTTGAAAAAATGTTTTTTTAAAAAAAAACAATATTTTCTCATTTCGGTCATGAAAAATATCCCAAAAAACTAAAATTTCATCATAAATTTAGGCCAAAATGTATTCTGCTACATGTTTTTGGTTACAAAAATCCCAGTAAGTGTATATTTATTGCTTTGTGTGAAAGTTATAGCGTCTACAAACTATGGTATAGATAATGGAATTTACACAGCTTTTACTTTCTGACTGCTCATCATATTTCTTGAGGTGCTAAAATACCAGTATAGTACAGACACCCTCAAATGACCCCTTTTTGGAAAGTAGACACCCTAAGATATCTGCTGAGAGGCATATTGAGTCTATGTAAGATTTATTTTTTTTCCACGTTTCTGAAAAATGACAAAAACATTTTGTTATTTAAATGAATTATTTCTTGCACAAGCCATGGGTAAATGTGGAATTACACCCCAAAATACATTCTGCTACTTCTACCGAGTATGGGGATACCACGTGTGAGACTTTTTGGGAGCCTAGCCACATACAGGAGCCTGAAATCCAATGACCACTTTGAAAGCCTGAAGGTGCGCAACTTCCTCATTACATTTCCTCACTACCTATCACAGTTTCGAAGGCCCTGACATGCCAGGATAGCACCAAACCCCCCCAAATGACCCCTTTCTGGAAAGTAGACACCCCAAGAAATTTAAAAAAAGAGGCATGGTGAGTATTTTGCAGATATCATTTTTTCTCACAAGGTTTTGAAATATAAAAAAAAATAGAAAAAATATTTTTTTTTTTTATTCTTCATTTTCCAAAAACTTTTGGCAACAAATGAGATCTGCAAAATACTTGCCATGCTTCTAATCAAATTCCTTGGGGTGTCTACTTTCTAAAAAGGGGTCATTTGGGGGTGTTAGGTGCTATCCTGGCATTTCAGGGCCTCCAAAACTGTGATAGGTAGTCTGGAAGTGTAATGAGGAAATAAAGTCCTTTAAAAGCCTGAAGGTGCTTATTGGATCTTGGGGTCCTGTACTTGGCTAGACTGCCAAAACATCTCTCACATGTGGTACCCCCATACTCGGGAGAAGTAGCATAATGTATTTTAATGTATTTCACATATACTCATGGCATGTGTGAGCAGTAAATCATTTAAGTGACAATTATGTGTAAGAAAAACTTTTTTTGTCATTTTCCAAAAACTTGTGGTAAACAAATAAATTCTTCTATTGATTCTACATGCCTCTCAGCAAATAGTTTGGGGTGTCTACTTTGCAAAAAAGGGTCGTTTTGGGGGGGGTGGGGGGGGGCATTTTATGCCCAGCATTAGAAGTTTATGCCACACATCACTCACTCTTCTAACCACCTGAAGATCAAGCCTTTTCTGTTCACATGAAAAAAATCAGTATTTTTTCCTAGGAAATTAATTTAAACCCCCAAACATTATATATTTTTTTTAAAGCAGACACCCTAGTGAATAAAATGGTGTGTACTACAATTTTTTATGGCACATAGTACTCGCACAGCGATTTCTCAAATGCAATTTGTAAAAAAAAAATACTTTTTTTTAACTTTTAATGCACAAAAACACAATATATTGGCCAATTATTTGGTAAGATATAAAAGATGATGGTATGCCGAGTAGATACCAAAAATGACATGCTTTAAAACTGCACATGCCCCGTGCAATGGCGAAAAACTGCAAACATTTTTAATATCCATAGGCAACACTTTAAAAGCCTTTATAAGCTACCATTTTAGATTTACAGAGGAGGTCTAGTGTTAGAATTACTGCCCTTGATCTGACGTTCACGGCAATACCTCACATGCATGGTGCAACCGCTGTTTACATACCGGCACAGGGTCAACGCTTGTGCACACAGGTGTGCGTGCATGGGAGGGGTGGTTTTTTTTTTTTCAGTTATTTTGATTTTTTTTAAATTATTTTTACACTGTACCTTTAATTTTTCTTTTTTTGATCACTTTTAATGCTATCTCAGGGAATGCAAATATCCCCTATAACTTCAATGGGTATTGTCATATAATCTTTTTTGAGAAATCTGGGGTCTATCAGGCTCTAGATATCTCCTCTGCCCTTACATTATCTAATCAAACCAAAATCGGTGTGATCAGATGCTTTCCCAATTTACAAATGGCGCTGTTTATATCCTGCGAAACTGAAGTGATGAAATGCTTGTAGCTTCCGAATTCTTAGACTATAGAGATGATTGGCACCACTCTGGTCTCCAATGAGCTCTATGGTCAGCTGGCAGAAACACCGGCTGCATTCTCAGGTTCCTCCGATGGCACGGGAATGCCCGAAAAGGCCGTGGAAGGCAGCGGGGGAGGGGGGCATCATATCCCACTGCTTGTAAAAGCAATCCTGCAGCTAATTAGCCACTAGGATTGCTTTTTCATGAAAGCCGATTGCTGGCTGAAAAAAACGATACCAGGATGATGCCTGCAGCTGTAGGCATCATCCTGGTATACCCATTCAAATTCCAGTGATGTACCAGTAGGTCACTGGTCCTTGTTGGGTATATATACTATGTTCTTTTTTTTTGTATGCAGCCTGTAGAAATCTCTACCAGAAAAAGTGTGTGTTATGCCCACCATTAGAATATACCGCCCTGCATCCACCCACTTCTAATGGTGTGGCACACATTAGGTCACATTTTTCCATAAGTGCCAGTTCCAAGATTGAACAAATGTCTAAATAGTGGCACGCTTGAATAAAAATTGTCCACGTATAAGTGATACCCCATATGGAAAAAGGATGACACCAAGTCCCAAACTATCTTGCCACTACTCCCCATGTAGTCAGGGCATCCGGGGGGGCTCCACATGACTATCTATTCCCTTGTAAATCTGAAACTTATAAGTATAGCCTGTTGTCCTCTCACAGGTCTTCTACATCTTGACCCCATATCTGGCACGCTTGCTGGGGAGAAATTGTTTGAATGCAAGGCGGCCAGAAAAATTAATCAGGGACTCATCAACGCAGATGTTTTGCTGGGGAGTATAGACATCTACAAATTTTTGGTTAAGGTGATTTGCGAGGGGCTGAATTTTATGGAGCCAATTAAATTCAGGGTCACCCCGAGGATGACAGAGTGTATTGTCATTGAAATGCATAAAACACATTATACTCTCATATCTCAAATCATGTATATATATATATATATATATATATATATATACACACACTGTGTTCCAAATTATTATGCAAATTCTATTTAAGTGTCACAAAGATGAAATATTTTGTTTTTCAGTTTAACTCATGGATGGCATTAAGTCTCAGGGCTCTTTTGATCACTGAAAACAATCTCAGACACCTGTGATAATTAGATTGGCCGGTGAGCCCAATTTAAGAAAAAACTACTAAAGGACGGTGTTCCACATTATTAAGCAGAGCACTATTTTCAACCAATATGGGGAAGAAAAAGGATCTCTCTGTTGCCGAAAAGAGTGAAATAGTTCAATGCCTTGGACGAGGTATGAAAACATTAGATATTTCACGAAAACTTAAGCGTGATCATCGCACTATTAAGAGATGTGTGGCTGATTCAGAGCACAGACAGGTCCGTGCTCTGAATCAGCCACAGCTGGTGTCTCTGGAGTCCCACAGAAATTAAGGTGTAGAGTCCTCCAGAGTCTTGCAACTGTGCATAAACCTTCTATTCGGCCACCACTAACCAATGCTCACAAGCAGAAACGGCTGCATTGGGCAGTAAAATACATTAAGACTAATTTTCAAACAATCCTGTTCACTGATGAGTGCCATGCAGGCTCGGATGGTCCAGATGGATAGAGTAGTGGATGGTTGGTGGATGGCCACCCTGTTCCAACAAGGCTGCGACGTCAGCAAGGCGGTGGTGGAGTCATGTTTTGGGCCGGAATCATGGGAACAGAGCTGGTCAGCCCCTTTAGAGGCCCCAAAGGTATAAAGATGTCCTCTGCAAAGTATGTGGAGTTTATGACTGACCACTTTCTTCCCTGGTACAGAAGGAAGAGCTATGCTTTCCATAATAAAATCATCTTCATGCATGACAATGCACCATCTCATGCTGCAAAGAATACCTCTGCATCAATGGCTGTTATGGGCGTAAAAGGAGAGAAAGTCATGGTGTGGCCTCCATCCTCCCCTGACCTCAATCCTATTGAGAACCTTTGGAGCATCCTCAAGCAAAAGATCTATGAGGGTGAGAGGCAGTTTACATCCAAACAGCAGCTCTGGGAGGCTATTCTGACATCTTGCAAACAAATTCAAGCAGAAACTGTCCAAAAACTCACACGTTCAATGGATGCAAGACTTGTGAAGCTGCTATCAAATAAGGGGTCCTATGTTAAAATGTAACCTGACCTGTTAAAATGTTTAAAAAGTTAAATGTTGTTAAAAGTTTGAAATAGCTTTTGATTTCAGTAAATATGCTGCAAACACAACAAATGACAATTTTCAGTTCTTTACAACCTATAAAGTGTTTTGAAACTTACTGTGCGTAATAATTTGGAACAGTGCATCGTACGTTTTTTATGTTTAAAAAAAATACTGTTATCATTAGGAGGTTTGTTCAATAAAATTAGAATTTTACTCTTAATAGCTGATAACATGAGAATTATGCTGACTGTTATTTACATCAATTATTTAGGTAAATGAGAAAAAATATCATTTGCATAATAATTTGGAACATGGTGTATATATATATGTGATTTTGATTTTGTGCACCCATGCCACCCTGTAGCAGTATTTCTGCTATAGGGCGGTCAGGAAGTGGTCACAGAAGCGGTTTGTGTTACGGCGCTGCGTTATTTTAACTGACAATTGCGCGGTCATGCAACACTGCACCAAATTAAATTTACGTACTTTTTGCCCATGAATTAAGCTTTCTTTCGGTGGTATTTGATTGCCTGTGCGTTTATTTTTTACGCTATAAAAAAAAAAGGCTGACAATTTTGAGAAAAAAAACAATATTTTGGACTTTATGCTCTAAAACATGTTCAGTAAAAAGCGATCAGCGACTTATGGCGGTGATCAGTGATTTATGACAGTGATCAGCGACTTATGGCGGGACTGTGGTGGACATTTTGACACTGGGGGGAACTGACTTGGGGTCACTGACATCCCCAGTGACACCAGTACAGTGATCAGTGCAAAAAAAAAAAAAAACTGACACTGTAGTAATAGCACTGGGGAGGAAGGGGGTTAACATTTTTATTCAATCAAAGGGTTAACTGTGTGAGGGGAGTGTTTTACTATTGGGCGGGGGAGGTGTGTACTTCAAAGGAACACACTGATCCTGAGAGATAAACTCTGCTCTCAGGAACAGTGTATTAGGAACTGACAGGGAGCAGAGCTGCATTGTAAACAATGCAGCTGTGCTCTGTGTCACTGTTTGCCGGCAATTGCTGGGACCCAGCGGGTAATGACTGGCCGGGACCCAGTGATTGACACCCGCGGCCGTGATCGGCAGCACGGGTAGGGTGGGCGGGCGCCTCACGTGCGCCCCCTACTTGTATTGCAATATCACATTTTAAAATGTGATTTTGCCCAGCAGTGCCACCTTGTGGCCGTTTTTCCACAGTGGCTGGACGGCAAGCAGTTAAGGACAAAATAAAAAGTATAATTCCAAAAAAAGTAAATAAAGCAGAGAAACACACGGTTTCCTGTAATTAAAATGCAAATGTAGAAGCCCAGATTTTAGATCCTAAAGTGGTATTAAATTCAAACCAAAATTTTATTATATTGCAGCTTACCAATCATTGGATGTGGTTGCTGCCTTTTTGGATTTTTTTAGGCTCCCCCCTCTGTTTTTACCTGGTGATCTGGACAATAACACAGAGTGGCCAGAGTGCCCTCACCCTGAAAGGAAGAACATAGAAGGCACATTTGGACAGCAGCATTTTCAGTCTGGGGGGAGTGATAGATGTAATAGCAGATTTAGATACACTAACAAATTGAGGCTGACACTTTAAAACCAGTTACGGCAAATCGTTTATTTCCTTTCGGGATACAGGTCTTATCCCTGTACCTGATACATCTGCAGGATAGCTTGTTCTTTGGAAAAACAGACTTACTTGCGAGATCACCTGAGGAAAATAGAAGAAAGAAAACCTAAAAATATAATTAACAAAGCCATCACATCTAAGAATTGGTAACCTGCAATAAAATAAATGTTAGGTTTTGAGTTTAAAGTGGTTCTAAAGGCTCAAACATTCTTACCTTCATGCATTCTATGTATGAAGGTAAAAAAAACCTTCTGTATCTAGCAGCGCCCCCCCCAAATACTTACCTGAGCCCCATCCAAATCAAGTGATGTTCACAAGAGCCTCAGTTCTCCGGGGACTCCCACTCCTGATTGGCTGAAGCAGCAGCGGGAGCAATTGGCTCCTGCTTTTGTCAATCACAGCCAGTGAGCCAATCAGGAGAGGGAGGGAGCAGGGCCGAGACACGGCTCTGTGTGTGAATGGACACGCAGAGCCACGCCTCGGGAGTGCATCTGCTTGGGTGCCCCCATAGCAGGCTGCTTGCTGTAGGGGCACCCGATAGGAGGAAGGGCCCAGGAGCACCAGCGGGGGACCCAAGAAGAGGAGGATCCAGGCTGCTCTGTGCAAAATCACTGCACAGAGCAGGTAAGTATAACGTTTGTTATTAAGAAAAATAAAATAATTTTCATTGTAATACTGCTATAAATTCTTTGCTAGGACAGTCAGTGTTCAAATGAAGTTTACTGCTGATAGTGAGCCCTTCCAGCACAGTACAGACAAGGTTAATTATGGAAAACATTAACTTTCCAGCCCACACTGCATTGCAGAGGTCATCTTCAATTTTGGAGATGTCAGAAAAGATAAAGTAAAATGTAAGCAACATGTTTTCAGTTATGCATTGTGAATGAGAACATGAAACAAAAATAAAATAGGTGTTATCCCAATTTGACTGCAAAAGTGGAAATACACTAAGAAACTAAATATGAATTGGCTTGCAAATAATTCCTTACATCTCATCTTACCTAAAAGTGTGCCAGCAGGGGTGGTTCTGCCCAGCCACAGCAATCCTTTATTTTCTTTTGATGGACTATCTAAGCCAATAGCCTGACTGCCTCCAATCTGTACACCTATGTACAGGAGCCTGGCTTCCTCCAATCTGTACACCTATGTACAGGAGCCTGGCTTCCTCCAACCTGTACACCTATGTACAAGAGCCTGGCTTTCTCCAATCTGTACACCTATGTACAAGAGCCTGGCTTCCTCCAACCTGTACACCTATGTACAAGAGCCTGGCTTCCTCCAACCTGTACACCTATGTACAAGAGCCTGGCTTCCTCCAACCTGTACACCTATGTACAAGAGCCTGGCTTCCTCCAACCTGTACACCTATGTACAAAAGCCTGGCTTCCTCCAATCTGTACACCTATGTACAGGATCCTGGCTTCCTCCAATCTGTACACCTATGTACAGGATCCTGGCTTCCTCCAATCTGTACACCTATGTACAAGAGCCTGACTTCCTCCAATCTGTACACCTATGGACAGGATCCTGGCTTCCTCAAAACTGTACACCTATGGACAGGAACCTGGCTTCCTCCAACCTGTACACCTATGGACAGGAGCCTGGCTTCCTCCAATCTGTACACCTATGGACAGGATCCTGGCTTCCTCCAATCTGTACACCTATGAACAGGATCTTGGCTTCCTCCAATCTGTACACCTATGAACAGGATCCTGGCTTCCTCCAATCTGTACACCTATGGACAGGAGCCTGGCTTCCTCCAATCTGTACACCTATGGACAGGATCTTGGCTTCCTCCAATCTGTACACCTATTTACAAACATATCACAAATATTTTTTATAAAGAATCAAGACAAAACAGTTTTTCTTTTGGGATGCATAAAAAGAGTTAGAACCTCTGCGTTTTTATTGTGATCTATAAATTTTCCCTCACTTTCTATCTGGTAGGTGTCAGACCAGGAAATCAAGGAGATATTATTCCAATGGAGACATATAGCAACAAAACCCATATTGCAGAGGGGTCATGGTTAAGAACATGTTTTTGTGCTGTCTCTGCCCCTTCTTTCTGTCTGTCAGGTGTTTTATCAGGTAAGAGGAAGCTCTCCTCTTACCTGATAAAGGTTTGAACCCTACCGTACTCTATCCAAAATTAAAAACATGTTGCTGAATCTGCGTATTAACTCAAAACACATTTAAATCAAAATCATAGAACCCATATTGATTTGCTGGATCTTAGTATCAAATGTAATGGGTTTGGCAGCAGCTGCTTTTTGCACCTTTATGAGTCTGAGGATTATGCTAGATGGGCCACAAAGCTGATGTAACCAGGCCCAACAAACACTTACTATGGTAAAGATCATGGACCCATACAATTTTTTTAAGCCGAGCAGGAATTTTAAAATGTCACAATATACACCCTACCGAGCGCAAAATAGTGCAAGAGGAAGCAAACACACTGAAATGCAAACGTGTATCAAGTCATACATCTCAGCCCTGGTACACTTGGTGCCAGGGAGTGCTAGGATTAAGCTCCATAAAGCCTTAGTACACTGGGTACCAAGGAGTGCTAGGTTTATGGAAGGAATATGCCAAGATATTCCTTTTCAGTGCCTACACGTACTAGCCCTTAAGCAATATACAGAGAGAACTGCATTACCACATAATGCCTTGGTGCAATTTATTGCAAAACGTGACCAGTAATCTGGGTGGACAATCCAAAACAACCCACTTATTAGGAAGATGCTTATCAGTGCAATGTTTATTGTTTTTTTTAAAGAGGGTATACATTAAAACTAAGGTTCCTAATTGTAGTTGGCTTTCTAGAGGAGGGAGACTTGTGTTAAAAGAATTCCACTCAAAACTAATAACTGAACTTTGGATGGGGGCAATCACAGTTGTAAATCCTTACACTCAGTAATATATTTAGCTTCATAGCCTCAAGGGCTAATTCACACTAGATGCAGTTTAGTGCACTTTTTTCTGCATCAAAAATGCATTCACAGCATTTTCCATGTATTCCAATGGCCCTAGTTCATACCAGTGCAGTCAGTTTCTGGTGCAAAAAAAAATAGAACATGCTGCATTTTTTCTGCACAGAACCATACTGGAACATAACAGACATAACAAACTAAGCAAAAACGAATCCTGAAAGTATCCATAGTGCGTTTTTGTAGTGTGAACTGGCTCTAAAACAAACATATGCTGCACCCACGCAGGGCAAATACAACTGAGCAGCACATATTCATTTTTTTAGTTCCTTGCTGCTTCATTCAGCTGCCAGAAATAAAGAGGGAAAATTACATTTTATTACTTCCCGGGTGCTGGAGGTAACGGAAGATGAGTTTGTGCTGTTTTAGAGGGTGGATTTAAGTAAGGTTACTATACCCAGCATGGGAAAAGTACTGGTTTGTTTAAGACTCATTTAACATGGCACAGTTCCACTCCAGTCAGCAGGAAAGCAGATCCCCTGCTGACTCCAAGCTGAACGGGACAGATGTCAGTTTTGCCAAATCTATGCCCATTCAGTTTGTGTCCACAGTCCTTTTACCTTTTTTTTCTGGAATTGAATGGACTCAAGTTTGCCTGCCCATATTGCAGAATGGAGCTTTTGATTGGGTCCATCTGAAAAATTGACAGGTGGACCCAATCAGAAAGCCCATGTGAAAGGGATCTAAGCCTCCGTTCACACCTATGCAGTTTGCTTTTTGTCCATTTTGCAGTGCTTTTCACAGTTCATTTTGCGTTTTTCTACATGTGTTTTTGACACATTTGTACCTCGTGGAATTTCTGCTGGGCAGAATAAAAATGCAAAACGCAACACAAACGCACTACCATGCATTTCAGCAGATTCTCCATTGAACTCTATTGTAGCAAAAATGCTGCTTTTTGCTTTTAAAAAAGTCCCTGACCCTATCAAAAAACACAGCAGCTCAAAAAAGCATTGATGTGAACATGTTCCACAGCAAACCATGTTAAATGGATTGTAGTACGTTTCTGAACGGCGCCTTAAAGTAAAGATTCACCATGTTCAGCTTCACCTCTTGTTCAACCCAGCCAGCCTTTGCCTGCATGGCCTGTGCCTGACAGCAGGATACTATTTAATAGGAAATCCTCTGATATACAAGGGATGAACTAAACAATATTTTTCTTTCTTTTTTGACAGGAAAAAAAATTGCAAATAAAATATATGAGGATTATATATTTACAATTTCCAGCCAGCTGGTGGATCTCCTTTTATCATGCTATATACATGCATTATCAGGCTATATACAACTGCTTTGCTAAAAAGGAAAAAAAAGCATGTGTACAAAACTTAAAGTGTTCCTAAACCCAGGACCCTGCATTCACTATATCTGGTCTCCCACAATAAACAGAATATGGAAATACAATTATTTTAGTAAATATAAACTGCTAAATGTCTTTTCTCATCAGAAGTTACAGCAGTCTTGTGACTTCTATCAGTGTCCAGCTGAGCACTGGTTAAAGCTTGTAGGAGTTTTCATTGTCCCCTGATTGTCCTATGAGGCTGCAGGACCCTTGACCTTATGTCTTGACAGTGCTGAATGGCCCTAAGCTGATCACATGCACACTCCCAAGAAAAAGAAAAAAAAACTCTCTAGCAAAACACACCAAACTGAGCATGTGCAGAGTGTGCCCGAGGCTGTGTGTTCTATCAGGAGATGAAATGGGGAATGTGGAAGAAGGGGAGGATTAGAGAAGTCAGGATCAAATATCCTTTTTACACAATGTAGATTAACCCCTTAGGTTCCACAGTGAGTATAACAAGCATGCTTTACTGCATATACAGACTGATTTTATTGTTGTGGGTTTAGTAACACTTTAAAAGGCGGAAGTTCAGATTACTCAGGCAGCATACTGATAACAGGAATGACTTGGCCTCCTTTTTGTACTGTACATAGATTCAACTAAAGAGTCTGCCTGAAAGGGAAAAGCTACTGCTTTGCTCTCTCGCAGTAAACCCATATGCTCTACTCACCTTGTATTATATATTTATTTGCAATAAAAATATTAAAATAAACAGTAAAAAGATATTTTAAAAATAGCAGTTGAAATATATATAAAATGTAAAAATAAAACAGGGCCAATGCATTTTATTATAATTTTTTTTTTTTTTAACAGCAACATAAAAAATTGTCCACAACGAACAATCATTGAGCCTCTATGGAGCACCGCAATAACCTCTCTCCTCCCCAATGCCAGCATTCACATCTCCCACTTTTTGCCTCTTACCCTGAAAGTTAGGGTCAATTTGATTTACTAAAGGCAAATAGGCTGTTCACTTTGCAGGGGAATTTTCCCATAGCTTAGTGAATGAGGTGAAGTTCTGCAGATTTGCATCAAACTGATCCCCAATCAAAATAAAATACAGTTCTTTTTTATTTTCCTTGTACATTATTAGGCATCCTTTGCCAAGTGAATTTTCACTACATTAACGGAACATTTTACTTGTAAAATTAAAATTCCCTTGCAAAGGGCAGCTTTCCTGCCTTGCAGTATGTGTACTCTTACGGCACAACGTTTTTATATCCTAATTGCGGATTCAAGACCAAGGTCTATTCCCTACATTTGGTAACCACTGTGAGTGTTCAGAGATTAACTGCCCAGTGTATGTATATAAATGTCCTGGGCAGCTAGTGGTTGGTTATACCATGATCATGGCTGCAGATCCACCCCGTCGCCATGACAAGCTGTTGTATCGGCTGCCAACAAAGGAAATGAAGGAACATCTATTCCCTGGTCTCCTCTGCCATGAGGAAGGATTTCGTCACTTTCGGTTTCAGAGCTGTTTTTCCCTGACCATTACATTCAGGGAAGCAGCTGATTAAACAGATATGTGTTTGATCAGCTGCTCTGAAGGACAGGGGAGACATCAACGGTCTAATAGGCACCTGATGTCTCCATCAAGAGTACTTGTCACTGCCCAAAGCTATCACAAGGGGCTTGTTCACCTCCCAAGATAGCAATAAATAAAACATTAAATAAAATAATTAAAAAATTAAAAGTACCCCTGTTCTCCTACACAAACTCAGATGCAGAAGTTGGTCTGGCACGTATATGTAACAGTGATTGTACCACACATGTGAGGTATTGCCATAAATGCCATAATCAGAGCAATAATTCTAGTGTCATAGCTCACTTTTAAATCTATACTGATAACCTGTAAAGGCCTTTAAAGCATCGCCTATGGACAATTTTAGGTACCATAATTTGTTGCCATTTCATAGGCAAGCGCAATTTTAAATCTTGACAGGTTTGGTATCTATTTACCAGACACAGAATCATATTTTATATTTTAACAAAAAAGTGAGTATTATATTGTGTTTGTGTGCAGTAAAATTCAATGAAGTGCATTTCTTCCTAAACATTTGTGCTTGATAATTGGCCATGCAAATATGTGACAAAAAAGCAGCCACCATTTTATTGGTTGAGCAAATTCCTAGCTAAAATACTGATTTTAACATGTATGTGAAAATTCTAAAAGTTGCCTTGGTAGGCAAGCAGTTAACAGGAGGCAAAAACAAAATGTGCATTTATTTTATTTTTTTTTTTTTGTTAGGAGCCGGTAAAGCACAGCACCAGTGATCAATAGATCTCTGATGCCATGCAGCTTTACTGCACACTGTCAGTGTATCTGATTGCTTGTACATCCCGTATGGGCAAGCCAATACTTGTTGACAGGAAAAAAACTATGGTAGTTCATTGAGGACTTCAAGCCGACAGCCGCTAAGGCTATCGGGACTTGGGACTTGTAGTCCATTCATTCATAGAGGACTGTGAAGGAATGATGCAGCCATGTGGGCAAAGCCCCGCTGTCTTTGAAAAGTGACAGCTACTACAGGGAACCTCTCCCCGTACTTCTGTCACGGGCGGGGGGGGGGGGGGGGGGGGGGGGGGTGGGGGGTAATGGTTGGGGCAGAATCGGAAAAAAACATGTTACATGTTCCAACCTAAAATATTATGCCTAATATTTTTATGTTTTAGAAATTAACTATTTGATCTTTGTTCATTTTTTTATTTTGAATAATCTTGTAACATTATAACATTTCAGCATCATAGGGGGTGTTTTTTTTGGTGTTATTGCTGTTAAACTCCCCTAGCTAGCATGCTTTGCTAGTGCAGTCATTGGTATAATCCACAATTATAATCATTCAAGTAATAAGATTCCAATTTTTAGAATAGACTGCAAGCATTAAATGAGTTTTATGGCCAACAGTTCCAATTTGATTTACTTATTATAAACCAGGCTTACTGTACACAGGGAGTGGACCAAACAGAGGAGGAAACTGAGGTAGGTGTTTATATCTGGATTACAGAGGTAGGAATAATTTGGTCTGCAAGGACCCCTAGTAACTGTGCCCTAAATTAGTTTTGAGTGGTATTCCCATAAAATTTGAATCCTTCATAAAATTTGGAATAAAGATACGTTGTATGTATTATGCTCTCACAACTCAAAGTGCTCTAGGAGTGCCTCCACCAGCACATGTCCTTCCATCTGTTACCAGAGGAGGCTCCAGTGCATAGCTGTTTATACATATGAAGAATTTATGAAATTAAAGAACATAAAGACACATAAAATACAAAAATCTGTAGATACATATAAATATACACATTTACATGTTGAAAAAGGTCATTTGATCTTAGGTTCTACATAAAATTTGTCGTCTCCGTCTCGAACATTATATGAATGTAAAGCTCGTGTGGTAAATTTCATCTCTTCAGGTCCAAATGGAGCTTCATGGTCCAGGTAATAGAGTCTCATATTGTTTGTTGACAATGGTACTAAAGTTTTAAGTTGCTTCTTGAAGTCAGCAACGGTTTGATCAAGGCGAACACTTATTGTTTGAACGTTTTCCTCATAGTGAATGTCAACACTGGCTTGGTTCTGTGGTCGGAGATCTACCTCTGCAAGTGGCTCCAACTTACCATACTTTGTAACCAATTCTTGATATCTGAGACGATAAAAAAAGGTTAACAGTAATTTATCATCAGATGCCACTTTATATTTCAATAATGTTTTATATATAATATAACATCCATATAGACATTATTGCAAAGTAGCTCATACAACACTGAATACAACTGAAGTAGCATTGATAATTTTCCATATCAATCAGAATTTGCATGGCACATATCATCAACATTGAGCATGTAAACAGTTCAGAACAAGACTTTCCAAAATGTTAAATTAAAAAAAAGTATAAAAAAAAGTTTAAAGTGGAATTTTAGTCAGCATATTAAGTCCTGCTATATCACTTCATGCTGACCCCTTTTGCAGGTATAGCTATGTAAAAAATTAAAAATAAGTGCCTATACTGTTAAAATCCAGTAATATATTGTCTCACCATTCTCTGCACATGCTCATTTGCGCTCTATTTTTCAGCACTGTGCTGAAAATGTAGAGGCCGATCTTCTGACAGCCTAAAGGTTTACTGTTGTTCAGGGGCTCTGGGATTCAGGAAAATGGCAGCTGCCAGAAAGAACAAACAGGAACAATGCTGGAGGCAATTTACAGCACACACTAATTTTAGTAGCAGAATTATTAATGTAGAATGTATGTTCCTTGCTAAAGAACATTATTTTTTTTATCAAGTTGTTATGGGTAAAGTTCCACTTTAACATACACCATAAGTCCATAATTAACTACAGCAGATAATAAGGCACCAAGTCATAATCGGTTTCACACTCAAGTTACAGCATGCCCCTGTATCCATGCGTTCCATTTGAAGTGAAAGCTATGAAGTTCCTGATCTTTATAGGCTAAGAATTGCTCATACTTACATTGGAGAGTAACTCTGTGCATCACTTCAGAGAGACTGGGGGGGCTACAGTTTTGTTTCATCTACTAGTGACAGTTAAAGTGGTATTAAACCCAAAAGTAAACATTTATTATATTTCAGCTTACCAATTCTTAGATGTGATGGATGCATTCATATTCTTTTTTAGGCTTTCTTTCTTCTATTTAGCCAGTATGTCTGTTCTTTTTCAAAAAAACAAGTTCTCCAGCAGCATGTATTGGTTACAGAGATGACACAAACCATTTAACACTATCAGGGGTTCTTAAAAAGCTCAGCCTTTATTTATATAAAATGTTTATCCCAAAAGGAAAAAAACTGCTTGCTGTAACTGCTTATAAATGTATGAGCTGGAGTTTGGCTTCAATTTGTTAGTGTATTTAATGATGCTAGTACATCTAACACTCCCCTCCCCTAGACTCACAATGCTGCTGTCCAAAGGCACCCCTGAGCTCATTTATCCAGAGTGGGGGCCCGCTAATACAGGAGGTGTGTTGCTGGTCAGTGCACCAGGTGAAAACAGAGGGAAAAAGGCCTAAGAAAAGAAAACAAATTCAGCCTTCATATCAAACGACTTGTAAGGTGCAATATAATACATTTTTGGTGTTGTGTTTAATACCATTTTAACTTCTTCAGCCCCAGCCACTGCATAAAAATGGTTGCAAGGCGGCACGGCTGGGCAAAACCACGTTTTAAAACGTGGTTTTGCAACCCTACCTGTCCCGCGGGTGTCAGCAGCGGGTCTCCGCCGCCGGGTCACGGTCATTTTTTTGGGCCTAACCCTCAACATGGGCATTACTAAAAGAAATAAACTGGGGTTGTATTGGTCCGCAGACCCGATTCATCATATCCCGTGTTCTCTGCTGCCATGGCCAGGCATAGATATGAGAGTATAATGTGTTTTATGCATTTCAGCGACAATACACTCTGTCATCCTCGGGGTTACCCTGAATTTGACCGGCTCCACAAAATTCAGCCCCTTGCAAATCACCTTAACCAAAAATTTGCAGATGTCTATACTCCCCAGCAAAACATCTGCGTTGAGGAGTCCCTTATTAATTTTTCTGGCCGCCTTGCATTCAAACAATTTCTCCCCAGCAAGCGTGCCAGATATGGGGTCAAGATGTAGAAGACCTGTGAGAGGACAACAGGCTGTACTTATAAGTTTCGGATTTACGAGGGAAAAGATAGTCATGTGGAGCCCCCCGGATGCCCAGACTACATGGGGAGCAGTGGCAAGATAGTTTTGGGACTTGGTGTCATCATTTCTCCATATGGGGTACCACTTATACGTGGACAATTTTTATTCAAGCGTGCCACTATTTAGACATTTATTCAATCTTGGAACTGGCACTTGTGGCAAAATGTGACCTAATGTGTGCCCACCATTAGAAGTGGGTGGATGCAGGGCGGTATATTCTAATGGTGGGCATACCACACACACTTTTTCTGGCAGAGATTTCTTCTCATTTTTTCATTCAGTCCACAGGCTGCATACAAAAAAAAAAAAATAACATAGCTTATATACCCAACAAAGACCAGCGATGTTAAAAATGTTTGCAGTTTGTCGCCATTGCACGTGGCATGCACAGTTTTAAAGCATGTCATGTTTGGTATCTATTTACTCGGCATACCATTATCTTTTATGTTTTACCAAACAATTGGCCAATATATTGTGTTTTTGTGCATTAAAAGTAAAAAAAAAAAGTGTATTTTTTTTAAAAAAATTGCTTTTGAAAAATATCTGCGCGAGTACTATGTGCCATAAAAATTGTAGTACCCACCATTTTATTCACTACATTACATTACATTACATCGAGTTTATATAGCGCCAAAGGGTTTGCTCAGCGCTGTACAATAGAGGGGGGGACAATACATGAAACATTACATCAACTACAAACAGCACACGAGGGGTTATAGGGCCCTACTCTTTCGAGCTTACAATCTAGGAGGGAGGGGGTAGTGGTACAGGAGGAAGTGGCTGTGGGGGATGGAGTGGTAGGAGGAATGAAGGAGAGCAGCAGTTAGGTGAGGGTGGGGTAGGCTTCCCTGAAGAGGTGGGTTTTCAGGGAGCGCCTGAAGGTGAGGAGGGAAGGTGACAGTCTGATGGATTGGGGTAGTGAGTTCCAGAAGATGGGGGAGGACCTGGAGAAGTCTTGCAGACGTGCGTGTGAGGAGGAGACCAGGGAGCAAGATAGAAGGAGGTCCTGTGAAGAGCGAAGGGTACGGGTAGGGTGGTACTTGGGAATTAGGTTGGTTAGGTAGTTAGGGGCAGTGTTGTGAACGGCTTTGTAGGTCAGAGTGAGTAGTTTGAATTTGATGCGTTGGGCGATATGGAGCCAGTGGAGGGATAGGCAGAGGGGGGTGGCAGAGGTGGAGCGGTTGGTGAGATGGATGAGTCTAGCCGCTGAGTTCAGGATGGTCTGAAGCGGGGAGAGCCTGCACTGGAGTAGGCCGGTGAGGAGGGAGTTGCAGTAGTCAATGCGTGAGATAATCAGGGAGTGTACGAGTAGTTTAGTGGTGTCTGGGGTAAGGAAGGTGCGTATTTTGGCGATGTTGCGGAGGTGGAGACTGCATGTGTTTGAAAGTGATTTGACATGAGGTTGGAAGGAGAGGTTAGAGTCCAGAATGACTCCAAGGACTTTGGCTTGCGGGGCGGGATTGATGGTGGTGATGTTAGTAGTGATGGATAGGATGGGGGGGGGGGGGGCGCGGGCAGGGGGGAAGACGAGAAGCTCGGTTTTGGAGAGGTTAAGCTTGAGGAAATGGAGCGACATCCAGTCAGAGATGTCGTTTAGGAGGTAAGTGATGCGGGCGGAGAAAGTGGGGGTGAGGTGGGGGTCGAGAGGTAAATTTGAGTGTCATCAGCGTAGAGGTGGTAGTTGTTGAAGCCGTGGGAGTGTGTGAGTTTGCCAAGGGAGGAGGTGTAGATGGAGAAGAGAAGGGGTCCAAGGACAGAGCCCTGGGGGACCCCAACAGAGAGGGGGAGGGAAGGGGAGGTGGCACCATTGTAGGAAACGCTGAAGGAGCGTCGGGATAGGTAAGAGGAGAACCAGGAGAGAGCGGTGTCTCTGATGCCAAGGGAGAGTAGTTTATTAAGGTGGAGGGGGTCCCATTGATGTGGGTGGAGGATTGAGTGTGCTGTGTGAGCGCGAAGGAGGAGGTTAGGTGGAGGAGTTGGGAAGTAGCCGGGCTATTGTCGTTGATGGGGATATTGAAGTCCCCAAGGATGATGGTCGGTAGCTCAGAGGAGAGGAAGAAGGGAAGCCAGGCGGCGAAGTCATCCAGGAAACGGGGTATCGATCCGGGAGGCCTGTAGATCACTGTGATCCTTAACCCCTTCACGCCTAAGGGTAAAACAAATCTAAATGCCTAAGCACAATTCTGCAACGTTGACGTGTTAGTAAAACCGTACATATCGTCACAACTACTTTGTACATCCAGGTGGATTATACCTTGTTTTTTTCAGGACAAATTGGGCTTTCATTTGGTGGTAAATGGTCATGGATAGCTCCTAATTTTTTGTTATTATTAAAGGAAAACTGGGCCAAAATAGTAAAAAAAATCATTTTTTTAAATTTAACTGTGTGTTTCTTGTTACGACCATAACCTACCACCAAAGAACAACTCAAAATACATTCTCCAGTTCTTGACGATCGCAGCGATACCATATATGTGTATGTTATTTGTTGTTTGTACCCGTAGTACAGTCCAGAAACAACAGTGCGCATTTTGTTTTTGTCTTTTTTTTTTTTTATAAAACACACTGTCACTGACATTGACATTAACACTAACTGACACTGATACCAATTTTTTTTTTTTTAAATCCTGACCTTTGACCCTGACCTTTGCCCTTGACCTTTGACCCTGACCTTGACCCAAACACTAACCCTGGTACTGAACTAGATCAAACCTTGATCTAGGTATTTTTCTTTATTTTTTCTTTTATTTTTTAATATTTATTTATCTTTTTTTTTTTTTTTTACAAACTTTTTTTTCTCTCTCTGTGTCAGGAGTTCGAGAGATACAATGTATCTCTCTTCTCCATTCATAGAGAGAGAGAAAAACAAGGGGGCCGGGCTGCACAGTGATTGATCACTGTGATAGCCAATCAGAAGCTATCACAGCGATCACGTGACCCGGAATCGGGAGTCCCGGGTCCCGATCATTAGAACGGGACCCGGGGCTCTCAGTGACACCGCGGTCTTGGTGCTGGGAGTGCGCCGAGCGGCGCGCTCCCAGCACAAAGACAGGTACGCAAATATGCGGCCCCACGGAAAAAAGCCCAGGTCCGTGAGGCCGCATATTTGTGTTACGTCGGCGTCAAGGGGTTAAGGGGGTGGGGGTGAAGTGCAGGATACAGTGAGCCTCGAAGGAGGAGAAGGTTAGGGAGGGAGGGTTAGGGAGGACCTGGAAGGTGCTCAGCGGTGATAGGAGCAGGCCAACACCACCACCTTTGTCAGTCTTGGTGAATGGGACCAGACGAGACCTCCATAGGAGAGTGCCGCAGGGGAGGTTGAGTCAGTGGCCTGTACCCAGGTTTCGGTGATGGCTAGGAGGTTAAGGGAGTGGGAGATAAAGAGGTCATGGATGGCGGTAAGCTTGTTGCAGACCGAGCGGGCGTTCAAGAGAGGGGGGATGGATGCGGGGAGAAGGGGCACAGGTATGAGGTTGAGGGGGTTACGGCAGCTGGCGGAAGCAGGGGGTGCCTAGAGGAGGGGTGAGGTGGTGAGGGGCCAGGGTTCAGGGAGATGTCCCCAGCGGATAGGAGAAGGGTGAGGAAGGTGGCATGGGGATGGGAAGTGCAGGAGTGTGTGAGTCTGATAGTGGTGGCACGTGGGTCGACGGGGGAGTGGAGTAGCAAGAGGAGGTGGTGAGTGCCATAGTGGGGAGGGGGAGAAGTGAAGGGGCAATGTAGAGCTGTTTTGGGGGGGTAGGCGGGTAGAGGGAGGTGATTTTTGGGATGGTGGAGAGGAAAACGAGGAGGAGTGCAGGTGGCATGTTGGGGTGGGTGGAGTGACGGTTGGGTCAGGGGAGGTGAAGGGATACAGGTCAGGGCAAGGTGGTGTCTGCTTTAAAAAAAATATATAATGTTTGGGGGTTTAAATTAATTTCCTAGCAAAAAATACAGATTTTGTTCATGTGAACAAAAAGGCTTGGTCTTCAGGTGGTTAGAAGAGTGAATGATGTGTGGCATAAACTTCTAATGCTGGGCATAAAACGCCCCCACCCCCCAAAATGACCCCTTTTTGGAAAGTAGTCACCCCAAACTATTTGCTGAGAGGAATGTTGAATCAATAGAAGAATTTATTTTTTTTACCACAAGTTTTTGGAAAATGACAAAAATATATATATTTTTTTTACACAAAATTGTCACTTAAATGATTTACTGCTCACACATGCCATGGTTATATGTGGAATTACTCCCCAAAATACATTCTGCTACTTCTCCCGAGTATGGGGGTATCACATGTGAGAAACGTTTTGGCAGTCTAGCCAAGTACAGGACTCCAAAATCCAAATGGCACCTTCAGGCTTTTAAAGGGCTTTATTTCCTCATTACACTTCCAGACTACCTGTCACAGTTTCGGAGGCCCTGAAATGCCAGGATAGCACCTATGTGGCTAGGCTCCAAAAAGTCTCACACATGTGGTATCCCCATACTCAGTAGAAGTAGCAGAATGTATTTTGGGGTGTAATTCCACATATACCCATGGCTTGTGCGAGAAATAAATAATTTAAATAACAACTTTGTGTAAGAAAAAAAAGTTTTTTGTCATTTTCCAGAAACTTGTGGAAAAAAATAAATCTTCCATGGACTCAATATGCCTCTCAGCAGATAGCTTAGGGTGTCTAATTTCCGAAAAGGGTCATTTGAGGGTGTTTGTACTATCCTGTATTTTAGCACCTCAAGAAATGTGATGGGCAGTCAGAAAGTAAAAGCTATGTAAATTCCATTTCCTACCATTTCGTGGCTGAGTTGCTGTTATTCTCAGTTGCTTTCACTTTGTTATAATGCCACTAACAGTTGACCGTGGAATATTTAGTAGCAAGGAAATTTCATGGATGGACTTACTGCACAGGTGGCAACCTATCACTGTACAATGATTGAATTCATTGAGCTCCTGAGAGCGACCCATTCTTTCACAAATGTTTGAAGAAGTAGTCTGCATGTTTCTCATACTACGGTGTTGGGCCTATTTATCGCATACCAGAGATCATGGATCAGTTTGAATACATCAGAATACTTGAAGAGGTCATGCTGCCTTATGCTGAAGAGGAAATGCCCCTGAAATGGGTGTTCCAACAAGACAACGACCCCAAACACACCAGTAAACATGCAACATCTTGGTTCCAGACCAACAAGATTGACGTTATGGAGTGGCCAGCCCAATCGCAGGATCTTAATCAAATAGAAGACTTGTGGGGTGACATCAAAAATGCAGTTTCTGAGGCAAAACCAAGAAATAGAGAAGAACTGTGGAATGTAGTCCAATCATCCTGGGCTGGAATACCTGTTCACAGGTGCCAGAAGGTGGTTGACTCCATGCAACACAGATGTATAAGCACTGTTTCTGAGAACTGCTGTACAACTAAATATTAATTAAGTGATTCAAAGGAAAGCAAAATCTTCAAACATTTTTCAGTTTATATAGTGAATGTTTGAGTTTGTACAGAAGAATACAAACACTGCTATTTTTTTGAACAGTTTAATATTTACTTTTCTTCAATTTTTTTAGAGGAACAACACAAATTTGATATATTTGTCTTCATGTTTTGATTTGGAATAGAATGTGTAGTGTTCCCAATGCATTTGTGTGTATGGAAATAAAAGCTATTAGAAGGATTTTGAGCTTTATTCACTTTTTTCAACACTGCTATTATTTTGAACTTTGAAGTAGAAATATAATTTCTACCAAAAACAGTGATTGATCACAGGTTAGTCATGTCTGACTGCTATTATTTTGAACACAAATGTATATATATAGCTCTTCACAACTTTAACCCGTCTCTTTTCCAATCTGCAACTGACCACCTCTATGACAGAATCTCTCCCCTGTCCTGCCCTGACCTGGCCACTGCTGTCTGCAACAGTTCACTTTCATCCACATTAGACTCACTTGTTCCTCTAACTACACGAGGTACCAGGCTCCGACCATTACAACCTTGACAGACTGACAACACCAGAAATCTTAAAACAACATAGTCGTGCGCTGGCGTAAAACCAAATCTCAGCAAGCTTTCACCCTATATAAATCTGCCTTCTTAACATACAATTCCTCCCTCCATGCTGCAAAACAAGCCTACTTTGTCACTCTCATTAATAGCTTATCATCCAGTCCTTGTAGTCTCTTCTCTACTTTTAACTCTCTACTTTTTTCACCTCTACCCAGTACCTCACTCACTGCTTACGAGATTGCAAATGTTTTAAAAAAAACAAGATTCATGCAATTCGTAGTGGCATCTCCACTGCACAGACATCCATCCCACTTAGCATACCTTACACTAAACCTCCCTCAACACTTTCCTCTTTTGACCTTGCTACTACTGAAGAGGTCACTAAGGTTTTCTCAGAAGCCCGTCTCACTACCTGCCCCCTGGATCCTGTCCCCTCACAACTACTACGGTCACCCTCTTCTTCTATCCTATGCTCCCTCACTCACATCTTCAATCTCTCCCTCTCTAATGGTGCCTTCCCCTCCCCTCTAAAACATGCACACTTCACTCCCATACTTAAAAAGCCCTCCCTGGACCCCACCAACCTGAACAACTTAAGACCCATCTCCGTGCTCCTGTTTACCTCTAAACTCTTAGAATGCTTAGTCTACAATCACCTGAGCTCCTACCTCACTGACAACAACCTTGACCCTTTACAGTCTGGCTTCCACTAACTACACTCCACTGAAACTCCCCTACTAAAACTCACTAATGATCTACTAACTGCTAAAACCAATGGCCACTACTCCGCACCCTTACTACTTAATCCTCTCTGTGGATTTTGATACTGTTGACCATCCCCTCCTCCTCAAAAAACTTCACTCTCTTGGCTACAAGACTCTGCTCTCTCCTGGTTCTCCTCCTACCTATCACAGCACTCCTTCAGCGTTACCTATAACTCTGTCTCCTCCTCTCCACTCCTTTTTTCTATAGGGGTCCCTCAAGGTTCTGTCCTTGGACCCCTTCTCTTCTCCATCTACACCTCCTTCCTTGGTCACTTGATAAACTCCCATGGTTTCAAGTACCATCTCTATGCTGATGACACACAAATCTATCTTTCTACTCCTCACCTCACCCCTTCAGTCTCCTCTTGCATTAATAACCTACTAAGTGACATATCGGCATGGATGTTACTCCACTTCCTCAAACTAAATCTTTCCAAAACTGAGTTCATACTATTCCCTCCAGCCCGTGCCCCGTCCCCTGACTTCTCCATCAAGATCAATAACACATCCATTAGTTCCTCCCTCATGCCAGGGTGCTAGGTGTAATCCTAGACTCCCATCTGTCCTTTCAACCCCAAATCCAATCGCTGTCCAAATCTTGTAGACTTCACCTCTGCAACATCTCCAAGATACGCCCGTTCTTAACCTCGGAAACTACTAAGTAACTTATTCACTCCCTAGTTATCTCTCGCCTTAACTATTGTAACTCCCTCCTCATTGGCCTGCCTCATCGCAGGCTATCCCCTCTTCAGTCTGTCATGAATGCTGCTGCCAGACTCAAACACCGTACTAACTGTTCCATATCTGCCACCCCCTCTGCCAATCCCTCCACTGGCTTCCAATTGCCCAACGGATAAAATTCAAAACATTAACAATAACATATAAAGCTATTTATAACTCTGCCCCAAATTACATCACCAATCTTGTCTCCAAATATCACCCAAACCGTTCTCTCTGCTCCTCGCACGACCTCCTGCTCTCTAGCTCCCTTGTCTCCTCCTCCCATGCTTGTCTCCAGAGCTTCCCCCATCCTCTGGAACTCTCTACCCCAATTTATCAGACTATCGCCTACTCTGCTCACTTTTAGGCAATCTCTGAAAACCTATCTCTTCAGGGAAGCCTATCCCGCCCTCAGCTAATAATGGAATCTTCTATTCCTCCTACCAGCCCATCCCCCACAGTTATTACCTTTTGTACCGCTAGCCCCTCCCTCTTAGATTGTAAGCTCCAAGGAGCAGGGCCCTCCTAACCCTCTTGTATTGAACTGTATTGTTGCTGTACTGTCTCCCGTTATATTATAAAGCGCTGAGCAAACTGTTGGCGCTATATAAATCCTGTATATATATATATATATATATATATACATATATACATATACATACATACATATATATATACCCTAAATATATATAATTTTTTTATTTTTTCATTTGAATTAAATAATTTTTTTAACATGGTCTCCAATTTTTTTTGGATGAACTTTATTGCCATCAACATCCCTTGTGATAGCATGGGCACTGACAGGTTCTCCAATAGATGCCAGATGTTTCCTCTCTCCTCAGCCGATCAAACCAAGATTGAAATAAAAGTCTGAAGAAGTCCCCTGACAGGACATAACACATAAAGGGCAGAGTTTTATCCAGAAGATACCCTCACGCTGCAAGTCTGCAATTTGAGATGACAAATAGACTGGTCTTCTATTTGTTGGCTGATGTTTTTTGTAACATAACACTGAATAGAGCACTATTTGATAAGCGCATTCTTCCTGTTCTGTTTGTGAGTGTTTTTAACCATTTGCCGCCCGCCCTATGGCTGAATGGCGGCCGGCAAATGTCATCAGCGTACCGGGTGGAACGTCCTCCCGCACATGCGCAGATTGCGCTCCTGCAGAGCCGCGCAGCTGCGCGATCTGTCACTGGCCGTGTACCTCGGACACGGCCGATGACAGATCTGATTATCGGCCCCCATTGCCGGTACCATGTGACCTGCTGTGACCAATCACAGCAGGTCACATGACAATTGTATACAATGGATGGCTTCATTCATGCCATCCATTGTATACTAGTGTCTAGCTGTGAATGGTCACAGCTAATCACATGCACATGTCATGTGATTAGCTGTGGCCAAAACACAGCTAAAAAAAAAAAAAAAAAAAAACCCTGAATGAATCGATGTCATTCAGGTAAATGCTTGCTTATAGCAAAGTAATTCTTTGCTATAAGCAAATTGTGTAAAAAAAAAAATACTATCACTTCACCAAAGTAGTACAATGTTACTAAACAAATTAATAAAAAAAATAAAAAAAAAAAAAAATATATATATATATTTTTTTTTTTTCATACTGTCACCAGTCATTGTCCCTGATCACCGCCATGCCAGTTATATGACACTGTACTGCACTGGTGACAATATGTAAAAAAAAAAAAATAGTGAAACTAATTTTTTAAATTTTTTCATTTTCTGAAAAATTATGACAAAAAAAAATACAACTTCAAAAAACTCGCCATGCCTCTTATGAAGTACGTCGGACTGTCTACTTTGCAAAAAGGGGTCATTTGGGGGATATCTGTACTGTTCTGACATTCTTGGACCTCAAGAAATTAGATTGGCTGTCAGTACTTCAGGATTGATCAATTTTCAGATCTATACCATAGTTTCTGAACTCTATAACTTTACTACAAACTAAAAAATACATCCTAATTTGGGTTATTTTCACCAAAGACATGTAGCAGAATACATCTTGGCTTAAATTTATGAAGAACAATTATTTATTTGCAAACTTTTATAACAGAAACAAAGAAAAAGGTGTTTTTTTTCAAAATTTTCAGTCTTTTTTTGTTAATTTAGCAAAAAATAAAAACCCCAACTGTGATTAAATACCACCAAAAGAAAGCTCTAGTTGTGTGAAGAAAATGAAAAAATTTTAGTTTGGTTACAATGTTGTATGACCGCGCAATTGTCATTCAAAGTGTGAGAGCGCTGAAACCTGAAAACTGGCCTGGGCAGGAAGGTGTAAAATTGCCCGGTATTGAATTAATTACCCTTTCTTATATAAAATAAAATGAGTACAGTGGGCACTCTTGAAGCATCTTTTACTCTTATTTACTAAGCTACCTGGCTGGTTCAGCAGAAAGCAGAATTACATGAAGGGGTATTTAAGTGAACAGTTCTGAGACAATTAATCTACTGTAAGACAGAGTGCAATATTTCCTGAGATGTTACAAAGATGTTCCATATGACAATGATATTTGCAAGTTATCTGCTACGTCTTCGCATGGGGAGCATAAAATACGCAGTTATAATAAGTTGCTTACCCAAGATGCAAACAAAGGAACTTTTTTGGAGACTAGGGTGCTCTGCTTGAGTTAGTAAAGAAAAATTATAACTGCAGGCACATTGTAGAGTTTGGGAGCAGGGATACTGAGATCTCCAGGTACCATGTGCTGCTGAGCAAAGGAAAAAGAGACACTATAGTGCTGAACTGGGGTAGAGAGGAAAAGAGATATTTGCAGGGACAATGCAGAGTTTGATAGGAGAAACAGATCCCTATGTACCATGTTCTGCAAAGCACTAACTGAGGAAAAAAGATGCATTTTCAGAGACAATGGGGTTGATTTACTAAACCTGGAAAGAGCAATATCTGGTGCAGCTGTACATGATAGCCAATCAGCTTCTAACTTCAGCTTGTTCATTTATTTCAGGTACCTATATAGCGCTGTCAATTTACACAGCTCTTTACATATATATTGTACATTCACATCAGTCCCTAACCCTCAAGGGGTGTACAATCTAAGGTCCCTAACTCACATTCACACATACACATACTAGGGACAATTTAGACAGGATCCAATTAACCTACCAGCATGTCTTTGGAGTGTGGGAGGAAACCCACGCAGGCACAGGGAAACATGCAAACTCCGGGTAAGTGGTGTCGTAGTTGGGATTCAAACCAACGACCCTAGTGTGACGATCCGCGTCAGACCCCTGACCTTCTCACCAAACTCGTGACTGAAGGACTAGCCAATCTGAAACTGCGATGTCACGTGCGTAACAATGCCACGCCCAGCTGCACCCTGCACAACAATTTTCCAGTTAATGGACCACAAATCGATGTACCGGCAGCCTGAATGCGATTGTTACTGGGTCAGGTTAATTATGCAATTAACCCTTCACACTGCCACCACCTCCTTTTTGTACAGAGAAAGAGGAAACTCGGCAATATCAGCAATAACACTATGATGGTTGAGATAATCGTCTGTATAGCACTGTCACCGCAGACAGGTTATACAGAGGGTTAAACAAACACAGTAGCACTCTTTTAGAGGCAGGAATTCGTAAGTTGCATTAACGAGCTATAGAAACAGTTCAACACTTTCAGAAAGAAAGATTTATGACTAAAAGATCAAAAGGGTGCAATAAAAATATTTACAGAAAAAAGATATAACCAATATATATAAATAGCACAGCAAAGAGGTAACAGAAAGAAGCTTAAAGGGTTAAAGTACTTGCCAATCAGCCTTGGGTTAAGCAGATCAAGTTTCAGAGCAAAAGGGCACGTCTCCCAAACTGGTTCTGAGGTTTAAAAGGGAGAATTCTTCAACTTCCTTCTCTTAGGCTTGACAGCCTATTTTGTAGTTCCCCAGCAGGGGGTGTCTCTGAAGCCAAGGACCAATGCCTCATTTGGGGAGGGATTGTCTGGGCGGAGACCCAAACTAGAACCTAAATCTCTCCTAGCTCATATTTTGGCTCATAACTTTTCCTAGGCACAAGCACCATCCCACCCGCGGGTAGATTAATATGCAGATGCAACTGAGGAACGGTTACATATGAAACATGAAATACATACTTGAAGGGTTCAAGAGATGTAATTTTCTGCTTTCCTATATATTCCAGCCAAGGAGAGTGACGTATCAAACTGTTTGTCTTCTCGTGGCCAATCTGAAGATGTGCCTGGTCTTTATATAAGTCTCTCATATTCCAAGATATGAGACATAGGGTAAAATGGATTTTAAAAGTATTATCTAGTTCCTTACTCCTCTGGAATGTCTTTGAACTCAGGGAAGGCTTGGGTTATCTTTTTACAAGGTGCCAGATTGCTCAGCTTCCCAGCCAGCCCAGCACTCAGCTCAGAGATGGTTTATAGCTCAGAGATCCCTGCTGTGCCCAGGCCTGCCTGTGACACTTCCAACACACACACACACCGACCAAATGTCACTGTGACTCTCAGAGAGGGAGGGGGAGAATGAGGGGAGATATGTTTGTACAGGATGGATGATCCTTTGCCAAGATGGAGGTTGGAGCCAAAATGGTTGAACTGTGTCCATCTCTGTGCGCATGATTGCTACACCTAGTACTGCCAGGCGAAAGTGCTAACCATTTAGCCACTGTGCTGCCCCAATTAAGCTTTGTCAATAAAACCTGGACAATGACTGGTTTCTATGCAGAGCTGCACCAGATTTTACACGCTCCAGTTTTAGTAAATCACCCCCCCACTGAGATGCAGAATGCAAAATATATATTTTTAAATGCACTTTTCTTGTCACCTAATTTCCAGTTTAATAAGCTATATTACATTCAAGAAGGTAAACAGAAATTTCATGGGAAGGTTGAACATAAAATTTACACAATTGTAAGGCATCCAGCAGCAAGTAAGTCAGAAACATGATGATTCACAGGGAAGAATGACCCAGTCACTTGTAACATGAGACGCAGGCAGTTTGGAATAGCATACTGGCGCTATGAACTGGAAAGACTCAACCATTAATCGCTGCACAAGACCTATCAGTGTCTCTTTTTCACATTGCACAGATGGAGAGCTATGGACAAAGGATTCATTGACAGCAGAGAGGTTGGTCTCTTAGCGGAGTCTCAACATTTTAAGGTTTTTGCTGCTTATAAGTGATAACCATCTAGTGAATCAGTGATAGATTAATACTGAATCTTCATTACAGTATTTCATTTTTAAAGCTCAATACAATTATTTTCATTGGAGATAGGAGTCTTCCTCCTCCCTCATATTTTTATGTCTCTAAAAGCAAGTGAAAATTCTTTCACTTGCTTTCATTCACACTGAACTTCCCATGACTATCTAAATCTTTGGGCTTGAATTTGTACTTCTTTTTTCTTCCTCGGGAGTTTTCTTCTATATTATTGCAAGAAACGTTTTGTGGAATTGTAATACTAACTATTCTGAATAATATTCTAATAAGTGGCTATTATATTTTTCTACACAGCTTTATATTTTTTGTTGTCTTCTTTATTTGAAAGGCCATAGTAGAATTTTGCGCAATCATGTAGAACAGGGAAATAACAAAATAAATCTTTGCGATTTACCTAACCAATCTTGTGTAAAAATTGAACTGTTGCAACTAATTAATCTGAATACTCAATTAACCGGTTTCCCTGCTGCCCTACAGCAGAACTACTGCTACAGGGCGGCAGGGCTGCGCAAAATCATGTATGCAGTGCAGGAAATATGTATTTGATCCCCTGCTGATTTTGAATGTTTGCCAACTCACAAAGAAATGATCAGTATAAAAAGCGAATTGTATGTGTATTGTAACACTGAGAGACAGAAGAGCAACAAAAAATTCTAAAGAAATGCATGTCTAACAAATTATGCACTGATTTGCATGTTCATGAGGGAAATAAGTATTTGATCCCCTATCATTCAGCAGGATTTCTGGCTTCCAGGTGTCTTTCATACAGGTAACAAGCTGAGATTAGAAGAAGTCTCTTAAAGGGAGTGCTGCTAATCTCATTTTGTTACCTGTATAAAAGACACCTGTCCACTGGAGCAATCAATCAGATTCCAAATTCTTCACCATGGCAAAGACTAAAGAGCTGTCCAAGGCTGTCAGGGACAAGATTGTAGACCTACACAAGGCTGGACTGGGTTACCAAACTATCGCCGGCAGCTTGGTGAGAAGGTGACAACAGTTGGTGCAATCATTCGCAAATGGAAGAAAAACACAAAACAACTGTCAGTCTCCCTAGGTCTGGTGCACCATGCAAGATTTCACCTCGTGGAGTGTCAATGATCATGAGAACAGTGAGGAATCGTCCCAGAACTACACGTGAGGATCTTGCCAATGATCTCCAGGCAGCTGGGACCACTGCCTAGAGGCTAAGCCTAACCTCTGACAAACAACCCCACACCATAATCCCCCCTCCACCAAACTTTATATTTGGCACAATGCAGTCAGGCAAGCATCGTTCTCCTGGCAACCGCCAAACCCAGACATATCCATCAGATTGCCAGACAGAGAAGCACGATTGGTCACTCCAGAGAACACATCTCCACTGCTCTAAAGTCCAGTGGCAGCGTGCTTTACACCACTGCATCCAATGCTTTGCATCGCACTTGTGATGTAAGGCTTGGATGCAGCTGCTCGGCCATGGAAACCCATTCCATGAAGCTCTCTACGCACTGTTGTTGTGCTAATCTGAACGTCACATGAAGTTACATGGAGGTCTTAAGCTATTGACTCTGCAGACAGTTGGCGACTTCTGCGCACTTCAGCATGTGCTGACCCCGCTGTCATATTACATGGCCTACCACCTCGTGGCTGAGCTGCTGTTGTTCCCAGTTGCTTCCACTTTGTTATAATAACACTAACAGTTGATTGGGGAATATTTAGTAGCAAGAAAATTTCATAGATGGACTTACTGCACAGGTGGCAACCTATCATAGTACCACGTTTGAATTCACTGATCTCCTGAGAGCGACCCATTCTTTCACAAATGTTTATAGAAGCAGTCTGCATGCCTAGGTGCTTGATTTCATACATCTGTGGCCATGGAGGTGAATGGAACACCATGATCCAATGATAATCCATGCAATCCGATTCCAGGGTCCTGCACCTTTTTGGTGCGGTGCGATTAGAGCCATACACAATGTATGACTCCAATCACATCGCACACAAATCGCATGTGAATTGCACAGGAATGCGTTGCGGTTCCTGTGCGGATCACATGCAATATACCGCACCACATATACAGTTGTGTTCAAAATAATAGCAGTCAGACATCCCTAACCTGATCAATCACTGTTTTTGGTAGAAATGATATTTCTACATGGCAAATAATTTACTAGCAGGTGTAGTAGAGTAATAGAAATCCAACAGACCCAACAGTCATGACATGCATGCTGCTGATTCTGTGTAATTGAATCACTAATTGAAAGGGGCATGTTCAAAATAATATCAGTGTGGAGTTCTATTAGTGAGGTCATTCATTCTTTGAAAAACAGGTGGCAATTATTGCCCTTATTTAAGGAAGAAAGGCAGCAAATGTTGTACATGCTGGTTACAGTGCATTTCTCTCTACAATTCTGAGGAAAATGGGTCGTTCCGGACATTGTTCAGAAGAACAGCGTACCTTGATTAAAAAGTTGATTGGAGAGGGGAGAACATATAAAGAAGTGCAGAAAATGATAGGCTGCTCAGCTAAAATGATCGCAAATGCTTTACACATGGCAAGCAAAACCTGAAAGACAAGGAAGAAAGCAAAAAACTACCATTCGCATGGATAGAAGAATAGCCAAAATGGCAAGGACTCAGCCAACAATCAGCTCCAGGAAGATCAAAAAAGGTCTAAAGTTACCTGTGAGTACTGTTACAATTAGAAGACGCCTATGTGAAGCCAAGCTATCTGCAAGAAGCCCCCGCAAAGTCCCACTGTTGAAAAAAAGACATGCTGAAGAGGTTACAATTTGCCAAAGAGCACATTGACTGGCCTAAAGAGAAATGGCGCAACATTTTGTGGACTGATGAAAGTAAGATTGTTCTTTTTGGGTCTAGTGGTCGGAGACAGTTTGTCAGACGACCCCCAAACCATGAATTCAAGCCACAGAACACTGTGAAGACAGTGAAGCATGGATGCGCAAGCATCATGACATGGGGATGTTTCTCATACTACGGTGTTGGGCCTATTTATCGCATACCAGGGATCATGGATCAGTTTGAATACATCAGAATACTTGAAGAGGTCATGCTGCCTTATGCTGAAGAGGAAATGCCCTTGAAATGGGTGTTCCAACAAGACAACGACCCCAAACACACCAGTAAACGTACAACATCTTGGTTCCAGACCAACAAGATTGACGTTATGGAGTGGCCAGCCCAATCCCCGGATCTTAATCCAATAGAAAACTTGTGGGATGACATCAAAAATGCAGTTTCTGAGGCAAAACCAAGAAATAGAGAAGAACTGTGGAATGTAGTCCAATCATCCTGGGCTGGAATACCTGTTCACAGGTGCCAGACGTTGGTTGACTCCATGCAACACAGATGTACAGCAGTTCTCAGAAACAGTGCTTATACAACTAAATATTCATTAAGTGATTCAAAGGAAAGCAAAATCTTCAAACATTTTTCAGTTTATATGTGAATGTTTGAGTTTGTAAAGAAGAATACAAACACTGCTATTTTTTTTTAAGTCTAATATTCACTTTTCTTAAATTTTTTTTTTTTAGAGGAACAACACAAATTTGATATATTTGTCTTCATGTTTTGATTTGGAATAGAATGTGTAGTGTTTCCAATGCATTTGTGTGTATGGAAATAAAAGCTATTAGAAGGATTTTTAGCTTTATTCACTTTTTTAAACACACTGCTATTATTTTGAACACAACTGTATGTGAACCCAGGTTCAATGTTTGTATAGGGGAACATGTGGCCAACATTAAAAAGGGCTATCCATCTTATAGCCTGTCGAAACATTTTGCTATGCATCACAATAGAGACCTCTCTTCATAGCAGGTTATATGCATAGAGAAATACATCCCACACTGGAGGGGAAGTAATATGAAGAGGCAGATCTTGCGTCATGAAACACAATGGATTTTTTACCTTAAAATCCACCAACCAGGGGCCTTAATGTTGAATGGGATATCAATTACTTTAATAATGATTGAAATATTAGGTATACATGATGGAGAAGGAACTATTATAGGTTGGGTGTCAATTACCGTATTTTTCGCTCCATAAGACGCACTTTTTTCTCCCCAAAAAAGGGGGGAAAATGTCAGTGCGTCTTATGGAGCGAATATGGAGTGGCCGGTCCGGTATTTCCACCGTCGCCGTGTCAGAATACCGGGCCGGCCGCTCAGCTCTGCAGCGGGATCTTATGGAGATGACTGCTGACCTTTGGGGAGGTGGGGAGCGGGTACCTGAATTTGACAGGTACCCGCTCTTACTTCCGCGGAGTTGTTCTTTGACCTTACCTGTTCCTGTATCCAGCGGCGCGCTGTCTTCCCGGCTTCTGTAGTGTGGGCGCTGGGCATGACAGCCGGGTGCCAAGTGCGCATGCGCAAGAAGCGGTGCTTTTTGTGAATGGTAAGGCGGTACCTGGGACACATGACAGATCCCAGAAGCCGCCGGACCAATCACAAAGCGCAAGTGCTTCTCGCTCATGCGCACTGGGCACTCGGCTGTCATGCCGAGCGCCGACACTACAGAAGCCGAGAAGACTAGAGCGCGCGGCTGGATAGAGGAACAGGTAAGATCAAAGAACAACTCTGCGGAAGTAAGAGCGGGTACCTGTCAAATTCAGGTACCCGCTCCCCCCCCCCCTCCCCAAAGGTCAGCAGTCATCTCCTGTACTGTCCGCAGTCTCTGGTCATCCCTGTGCTGTCCGCAGTCTCTGGTCATCTCCTGTACTGTCCGCAGTCTCTGGTCATCTCCTGTACTGTCCGCAGTCTCTGGTCATCCCTGTGCTGTCCGCAGTCTCTGGTCATCCCTCTGCTGTCCACAGTCTCTGGTCATCCCTGTGCTGTCCGCAGTCTCTGGTCATCTCCTGTACTGTCCGCAGTCTCTGGTCATCCCTGTGCTGTCCGCAGTCTCTGGTCATCCCTGTGCTGTCCGCAGTCTCTGGTCATCCCTGTGCTGTCTGCAGTCTCTGGTCATCCCTGTGCTGTCCACAGTCTCTGGTCATCCCTGTGCTGTCCACAGTCTCTGGTCATCTCCTGTACTATGTCTGCAGTCCATAAGTTCAGAATTTTTTTTTTCCTGTTTTCTGCCTCTAAAACCTAGGTGCGTCTTATGGTCAGGAGCGTCTTATGGAGCGAAAAATACGGTAGATATTTGGAATATATTTTCTATTTTCTTTCTTTTGATGTACCTATTATTTAAGTTATATCTTTGTGAATTTACTTTCCCAAGTGGGTCTATGTTAGTATGCTATTTATCTGTTTTTAAATGTTTTATTTTTATTGTTTATTTTTTCATTTATTATTTTATTGATATATTTGTTGGGGATTTATGTATCCAAAAATGAATTTTTGAGGGTTCTATCATTTTTAAATGTAGCCACAAGATGGTGCTATTTTTGTTTATCTTGGGTTCACCTGATCAGGTATTTGTTTACAAAATTTGTCATTTGTATTTTTCGTTTTTCCTGGCAGAATCCATCTCTCCTATTTAGTGGTTCGAGGTGTTTGATATTGGTTTTCTGGTACATCTCGTGGCTGCATATACAGTGAAGGAAATAAGTATTGTCAAACGTCAGCCACCAAACCTTGATAACTTTGAGAGGATCTGCCAAGAGGAGTGGGCAAAATCCCTCTTGAGATGTGTGCAAACCTGGTGGCCAACTACAGGAAACGTCTGAGCTCTGTGATTGCCAACAGAGGATTTGCCACCAAGTACTAAGTCATGTTTTGTGAAGTGGATCAAATACTTATTTCCATCACGAACATGCAGATCAGTGCATAATTTGTTAGACATGCATTTTGTTTGAATTTTTTGTTGCTATTCTGTCTCTCAGTGTTACAATACACCTACCATTCGAATTTTTAGACTGATAATTTCTTTGTGAGTGGGCAAACATTCAAAATCAGCAGGGGATCAAATACTTATTTCCTTCACTGTACTGATGTTGAGTCCTACCGGGTCTTTTTCCCTTTAAATTGATGGCTTCTGACATTCCACAAATGATGTCTAATCCCAGAGGACGCCATTTTTGGGGACAAGCGTCAGACGGAGTTCTTGCATGACGTCATCACGCACCGGCGTACTGAGACTGCAGCCAGGTGAATATATTGAGTTGTTTACTGCTTACTTTACGCACCTGTTTGTAAGTGCAATACTTTTTAATGGTTGGTTTTAATATACTGCACCAAGAGGTTTCTTCTTGTCCAATCCTTCCATGTCATTATGATGAGTGGCATTTGATACCATATTGAATTTTTGGTGGGATCGCATATCAGTGTGGTGGGTGCAGCCAGTTCCTCCGGAGGTGGTATGACTGTGAGAGCGCCAGCCTGGGGTCATGATATATATGCTCATTAGATCTCTATAGTTTGAGATCATGCCCACCTGGTAGGAGGCTTGCTTGTTTCTTTTGAATAGCACTCGTGCACAGAAGCACTTTACATGACGTTTTGCAGCACAGAGCACTTTCTTCACTATTTAATCAGGACTTTTTATTCATTTATTTACAGTTGTGCTCAAAAGTTTACATACCCTGGCAGAAATTGTGAAACTTTGGCATTGATATTGATAATATGACTGATCATGCCAAAAAATGCTCTTTTATTGAAGGATGATGATCATATGAAGACATTTATTATCAAATAGTTGTTTGGCTCCTTTCTAAATCAGAATGATAACAGAAATCACCCAATTGGCCCTGATCAAAAGTTTACATACCCTGGAATGTTTGGCCTTGGTACAGACACACAAGGTGACACACACGGGTTAAAATGCCAATTAGAGGTTAATGTCCCACATCTGTGGCTTTTTAAATTGCAATTAGTGTCAGTGTATAAATAGTCAATGAGTTTGTTAGCTCTTACGTGGAAGCACTGATTAGGCTAGATACTGAGCCATGGGGATCAGAAAAGAACTGTCAAAAGTCCTGCGTAACAAGGTAATGGACCTTTATAAAGCTGGAAAAGGACATATATATATATTTTTATTTCTAGCTCCCTGGTCTCCTCCTCCCACTCCCGACTGCAGGACTTCTCCAGGACTTCCCCCATCCTCTGGAACTCACTACCCTAATCCACCAGACTGTCACCTACCCTCCTCACCTTTAGGTGCACCCTGAAAACCCATCTCTTCAGGGAAGCCTACCCCACCCTCACCTAACAGCCGATCTCCTCCACTCCTCCCACCACTCCATCCCCCACAGCCACTTCCTCCTGTACCACTATCCCCTCCCTCCTAGATTGTAAGCTCGAAAGAGCAGGGCCCTCGAACCCCTTGTGTATTGTTCTGTTACTGTATTGTCTCATGTACTGTCCCCCACTATAATGTACAGCGCTGAGCAAACCTTTTGCCGCTATATAAATACTGTATAATAATAATCATAATAATAATAATAATGTAAAGATGTCCAAAGCCTTGTATATGCCAGTCATCACTTCCACTAAGAAGTAGAAAATTCAGGGACCTCTTGATACCAAGCCAAGTACAGGTAGACCAAGAAAGATTGCAGCCACAACTGCCAGAAGAAGTGTTCGGGATACAAAGGGAAACAAAGGGAAACCCATAGGTAACCACAAGAAAAATAGAGGCTGCTCTGGAAAAAGACAGTGTGGTTGTTTTGAAGGAGCACAGTATGATGAAACTTGAACAAAAATGAGCTGCATGGTCGAGGTGCCAGAAAGAAGCCTTTACTGCATCAATGTCACAAAAAGGCCTGGTTAGGCATGTCAAGGTGTTGTCAGGCATATTGTAACCGGGCTTTTTTGTGGCATTGGTGCAGTAAAGGCTTCTTTCTGGCACCTCGACCAAACAGCTCATTTTTGTTCAAGTATCACCGTATTGTACTCCTTAAAAACAATCACACCATCTTTTTCCAGAGAAGCCTGTTTTTCTTTTGAGGTTGCCTGTGGGTTTTTCTTTGAATCCCAGACAACTCTTCTGTCAGTTATGGCTGCAATCTTTCTTGGTCTACCTGACCTTGGCTTGGTATCAAGAGATCCCCATACTTTCCACTTCTTAATAGGTGATTTAACAGTACTGATTGGCATATTCAAGGCTTTGGACATCTTTTTATGTCCTTTTCCAGCTTTATAAAGTTCCATTACCTTGTTACGCAGGACTTTTGACAGTTCTTTTCTGATCCCCATGGCTCAGTATCTAGCCTAGTCAGTGCTTCCACGTAAGAGCTAACAAACTCATTGACTATTTATACACTGACACTAATTGCAATTTAAAAAGTCACAGATGTGGGACATTAACCTCCTTAGCGGTTTTCCCAACTGTAGCTCGGGGTAAAATTTCAGTACCAAGAGCGGTAACCCCGAGCTACACTCGGGCTTACTATGCGGCGTTGCTCAGGGGGTCCCTACAGCACTTACCTTGTCCTTCGCTCCCGCGATGTGTCCCCTGCAGCGTCCCCGGCCATCTCCTCTGGCCGATGCCGGCATCCGGGTTCCGTGTTCCGGTCCCTGTGACGTCGGGACGTACGGGCGCCGGAACCGGCGGGAAATTTGAAATTTTTAAAAAATGGAATTTTTGCTGTCATTGCTGTTTCAATGCATTTCACATATATTTTGTCCCTACTGCTTTGTCCTGTGCCCTGCCTGCATTTTGACTGTTCTTTCTGCCTGGAAACTTAGAAAAGTCCATGGCGTCCAAAAAGCGTCCCTTTACGTCACCCCCCTCCCCCCCCGGGACCTGAGGTGGCGCTACAGAGGAAGCACCGGCTTATACAGCTCCTGCTCCTTGCAAGGCTGCCTGCTTCCTCAGCTGCCAGTGCCAGTTCACTGCACTCTGATGCTGTGGGGTGGCAGGTCAGCAAGCTCAGATAGTGATCAAAAGGTTGCCAATCCCTGGCATGTACTTCCCTAGTTTGAGGTTGGGAACTACATCAAAGGCCCCGGAGGCCACAGGATGAGCACCCCTGATGTAGAAGATGTATGCTTGCAACCTCTGTTCAGCAAACAGACACCACAAGGTATGGAGATATGGTGATTATTTTTTTATAGCTTTTCCATTTACCTACCATTTGCAGTAAGAGCAACCAAGCATGTTCTTCTTGGGTACTTCCACAGGAAGCTAAACTAATCTAAACGAAGTGTGGATAGATACCCACAATCAATTATTTTTTCTTATTTGTTCCTGGCATGCTATTTGCTGCCCCAATATAGCATATCAGATTGTAGGTAACATACGGTTATCTGCAATTATACAGTGACAGCTGGAATATTGCTGGTTGCAATGGGCATCAATAACTAATCACAAGAATATCAAAATGCATATCTGCACAGTGCACTGTTTATACTAAAACTGTTTCTACTGTCAAAGCTTAATTGAACAAGTTGAAGACAGAAGCTGCTACCATGCACAGTTGAACCAGATTTTGACATTTCCAGTTTTAGTAAATCAACCCCAGTGTGAAGTAATAAAGTTAGAGAAAAAACACAGAGAGACTTTTTCATTTTGGGTGTTGGACATTTGTTGATTAGTAGTATATATGAGGTTGTATTGTAATACGTTTTGATACACAAATTTTCAGTAGTGACATTACTGTATTGATTTATATGGAGTAGGGCTGCACTGCTTTCTACTTAAAGTTTCACTTTAAGAAATAGTTAATTTATGTGTTAATGTTTTTCTAGCAGTGATGAATTAAAACAAGATATTTCAACTGTAAAAAAAGAATATTTACTTAGGTTCACTGACATAGCTGACCGCTGCTCAGGGCAAATCTTGCAGATCGGACTTTAACCTTGACAGACATTTAAGCTGGAGAGGAACAATAGTCGCCATTATTGCACAGGGCCAACAGGAGACGTGTTTGTATACACTTAAAACTGGATCTGAAAAAAGTATTTTGTGTCAGACCCAACTCCCTTCTGTCTTTTGTCTAAGGTCTCACCTTAATGGGACATCTTCCTTTGGGAAATTCATATAGTAACGGAGGAAGAATCTCTCTGAGTCTTCTCTTTCACCTTCTGTGACAACGCTGCCATTCAGTTTGGAAACAGATGGTAATCTAGGAGTTCATATAAGAGAAGCAAGTTAGGCTGGGCCATCATTGCAATAAAACTGGTAGAGGAGAATGATCCAAGCAGTCTTTCATAACATAAAATTCTTTCATATCGCACTGTGAGAAAATTTGATGGATGGCTGCCAGGTACAATCAAAGGGAAGTGATAAAGATCTAGCCCTGGTTCACACTGAATCTTACGATTTCAAAAGTTGCATGTCAGTGAAACTTCAGGTGTGTCTTGGCTGACATCTGTGCAACTTCGTGCACAGATGTCTATGCAAGTCGCACCTGAAATCACAAAATATAGTGCAGGAATTATTTTTTTCACATCAGTGCAGCTCCATAAAGTTGGAGTTGCACCAATTTCAACAGTTCAATTGCCGACAGTAGAGTACAACTTGTCATGTGATTTGAAGTTTGCATTTGAAAATTGCACTGGTGTGAACCAGGGCTTAGAGTCAAATTAATTTCCTTTTTTACATTTCGAACCTATACAACCCCATTGAGACAGCCTGCAAGTACTTGCAATAACTGTGAGAGTCAAGGCCAGATCTAGCTGGTCTAATGTGGGGCTCCAGAGGATGGAAAGTCAACAGGGGAGTGTATAGGGGTCAGTATGGCAGTGTACAGGGGCTCAGCAGGGCAGAGGACGTATAATATGTTCCTAAAGGAAAACGCAGCCTTTAAACAGTATAAACAATACGTAAACATTGACAATATTAACAATTAACTACTGTACAACCAGCCACAGCAGTTGCCAGCTGGCAGCAGTGATTGGTGTATTCTGATGGCAAGGAAGTCTCCCTACTGTCAGAACAAAATACCTCAGTGAGAAGGATTCTCCCATCCACCTTGAATATGTGGATGGGTAAATTGGCCCTTTTTTCTTGTTTGAACGAAAAAAAATTACTATATGTATGGGCTGACTTACTGAACTTATCTTAAAGAAGAACTTTGTTAAAACCAGCAACTATTGGGACAATGAACACCTTGGTCAGGTCTATGTACAGGGGTCAGTAAGTAAAAAAACAAAACAGCATATGAAGTGCAGCAGTCAGGATGAGTGCCATGTTCACACCAGAGTCCTTCCTTACATTAGAGTCCCCAGCTATCCCCATATACATCTATACATCAGAATGCCCCTTTACATCATTGTCCCAAGAGTTCCACCACTGTACACCAGAGTCCCACTTTGCTGGATTCTGGTGTAAGAGGGTACTTTGCTGTAGAGTGCATCAGAATCCAAAACAAGCACCCCCTCCCTTCCATCAGATTCCAGCAGAGTGCCCCCTTCCATCAGAATCTGGCAGAGTGCCCCAATCCATCACAGTGCCCCCTTCCATCACAATCTGGCACAATACCCCTTTACATCAGAGCATGGCAGAGTGCCCTCTTACATCAGAGTCAAGTCATCCCTCAGTGCTCACACAGGGGAATCAATCATGCAGACACGATGTAGCTGCCGGTTGCTGTACTGCAAATCTCCTGTCCACACAACCTCTTTTCTCAAGCATAGCACTGGCTGCACATGGGGATTCCAGTGTTGGGGGCGGGGCAGACACAGGGGATAGGGGCAGAAAGAGGTGAAGCAGATCAAGCCCTCTCTCCTTTCCTGTTCATGTGTGGGGGGTATTTTGCTGGCTGGGCATTGTGAGCCTCACAGATGCCTTGATAGGTGCAGCAAACAGCTCCAGCTTTTCCTGATGAATGGTTGGCAACACTGCCAACAACATCCAAGGGGGGGGGGGGGGGGGTTAAGGCACAAATAAAATCTGGGGGGTGGTACAGGCCATCCCAGCACCCCCCTTAGATCCAGCCATGGTTAGAAATATTTCCTTTGCATCTGAGATGGCCAATATTCCTGCTTACACGCTATACACAGATGTCTATGTGCTGAAGTTATGCCCCACTCCAGCATTCATCATCAGCAAAAAAACAACAACAACAAAAATACAGGTGCCACTTCATCAATACTGTTGCACTGACTGTGGCAGCCAGACAACTAGGGTCATTTTTAGTGCAATTCAGATAGTGGAAGCTAAATCACCAATTTCTATACTCTATGCCAATTTTCCTTTTCTTTTTGAATCTGTTACTTCATCGCCCAGATTCAATTTGCCAATTTCTAGTACAGAATCAGAAATGAAAGCTAAAGTGTATACAAAACAAAAATGTGAAGTTCAACAATCAGCACCCTTTTAAAACTACTAAGTATAGTAGTTTTCTAGTAGTAAAGCCATAAAAACCTGTTAATACTGCAGGTTTCTACTGGAAAGGTGACAAAGCCAACCATCAGTCACCCTACTTTTTGCACTCCTGCTGGGAAACTAAAAGCAGTTGTGCTAATGCACAGAATGCCTAACTGCTTCCCGGTTTGGAGCCCAACTCCATGTCACCTGTACCACCCAGTACTGCTTAACTAACAGCAGCTTATGAAAGCAGTCTATTCTGGGAAGCAACATGGTCTGCAAAGGTGCCTAGGACCTCCTAAGCCTGCATCATAATCATAGGCAGTTATGATAAACTGCAGCTTCTTCCTCCCAAAAGCCCAGCCCAGTAGACAGTGAGGAAGAAAAAGTCATTCTTGGGCTTAACTTCCTTTTGTCTGGGCTATAGTCAAAATGGCGGCCGAGCGGGAGCCATTAAAAAGAAAAAAAAAATCTTAATTTGTTTTTCCTTACATACGGTCACCAGTCAGGAAACCTAATCACCAGCGCACCAGTCACATGAAGACTCCGTTCTGCTCTGGTAACAATATGTTAAAAACATATTTAAAAAAAACTCACTATGCCTCTTACTAAATACCTTGGACTGTGTACTTTCAAAAAGGGGTCATTTAGGGGGTATTTGACTGTCTTGGCATTTTGGAACCTCAAGAAATGAAATAAGCAGTCAGTACATCAGGACTGATCAATCTACACACATACACACACTATACTTTCACAAAGACTAAATAATATACACTGATTTGGGTTATTTTTGTCAAAGATATGTAGCAGAATACATTTTGGCCTAAATTTATTAAGAAAGATTGTTTGCAAATTTTTGTAACAGGGAAGATGTTTTTGGTATTTTTTCATTTATACAGCAAAAACATTTTAAAAGCCAAGTGGTGAGGAAATACCACCAAAAAAGCTCCATCAGTCTCAAAGAATGATAAAAATTTCATATGGGTAGAGTGTTGCATGAATGAGTAAATGGCACTGAAAGTTTGACAGCTCTGAAAGCTGGCCTGGGCAACAAGGGGGTGAAGGTACCAAACTGGTATTGAACTTGTTAAATACACTTTAAGAAGTTTATTTATAAATGTTTTAGCATATGGTCTGCAAACGTGCCTGAGACTTCCTGATCCTGCAGCATAATCAGGCAGTTACAATGCGCTTCAGCTTCTCCATTCCCACAGTCCCAACCCTGCAGACAGTGAGGGGGAAAAAGTCATGCTCTTGGGTTTAAGTACACTCTAAGGTGTTTTTTTTATCAATGTTTTAACACACGGTCCATATAACTGTCACCCAGTATTCACACATTTTTTCTAATTTGATTCAATTATATATATACACACACACATACACATCCCCCTAAGTATTTTTTAAATAAATTACAGTTATACTGCATAGGATAAATACCTTGCAATAACTAATTTCCGGCGTTCTTCTGTGCTATAAGGCTCCACTAGAGGAATACCTAATAACCTGACTTCTTCTAGCTTCGGTAACGCATTTAGTTTTTCAATGTCTTCCCAGCAACTTAGACCTGCAGAGGATAGCAAAATGGGTAAGTAAAACATGCTAAGCATACATAAAATATACAATAAAGCTGTTCTTTATGCTGTATTGTATAATCCAGCAGATTCAATAAAACATGCATATATTTGTAATTTTTCCCCTTTTGTCAATTAATTTGTCGCAAAGCTAATATATTCAGGTCTTCCCACATTCTCATTTTTAAAATGGGGATGAACAAAAATGTATTACTTTGATCATCTGTGTTAATAATCTTACGTGTGTATAAATACCATACTTATCTACAGTATACAGTCAGGTCCATAAATATTGGGACATTGACACAATTCTAACATTTTTGGTTCTATACACCACCACAATGGATTTGAAATGAAATGAACAAGATGTGCTTTAACTGCAGACTGTCAGCTTTAATTTGAGGGTATTTACATCCAAATCAGGTGAACGGTGTAGGAATTACAACAGTTTGCAGATTTCCCTCCCACTTGTTAAGGGACCAAAAGTAATGGGACAGAATAATAATCATAAATCAAACTTTCACTTTTTAATACTTGGTTGCAAATCCTTTGCATCAATTACAGCCTGAAGTCTGGAACACATAGACATCACCAGACGCTGGGTTTTCATCCCTGGTGATGCTCTGCCAGGCCTCTACTGCAACTGTCTTCAGTTCCTGCTTGTTCTTGGGGCATTTTCCCTTCAGTTTTGTCTTCAGCAAGTGAAATGCATGCTCAATTGGATTCAGGTCAGGTGATTGACTTGGCCATTGCATAACATTCCACTTCTTTCCCTTAAAAAACTCTTTTGGTTGCTTTTGCAGTATGCTTTGGGTCATTGTCCATCTGCACTGTGAAGCGGCGCCCAATAAGTTCTGAAGCATTTGGCTGAATATGAGCAGATAATATTGCCCGAAACACTTCAGAATTCATCCAGCTACTTTTGTCAGCAGTCACATCATCAATAAATACAAGAGAACCAGTTCCATTGGCAGCCATACATGCCCACGCCATGACACTACCACCACCATGCTTCACTGATGAGGTGGTATGCTTAGGATCATGAGCAGTTCCTTTCCTTCTCCATACTCTTCTCTTCCCATCACTCTGGTACAAGTTGATCTTGGTCTCATCTGTCCATAGGATGTTGTTCCAGAACTGTGAAGGCTTTTTTACATGTCGTTTGGCAAACTCTAATCTGGCCTTCCTGTTTTTGAGGCTCACCAATGGTTTACATCTTGTGGTGAACCCTCTGTATTCACTTGATTGTTGACTTTGACACACATACACCTACCTCCTGGAGAGTGTTCTTGATCTGGCCAACTGTTGTGAAGGGTGTTTTCTTCACCAGGGAAAGAATTCTTCGGTCATCCACCACAGTTGTTTTACGTGGTCTTCTGGGTCTTTTGGTGTTGCTGAGCTCACCGGTCCGTTCCTTCTTTTTAAGAATGTTCCAAACAGTTGTTTTGGCCACGCCTAATGTTTTTTTCTATCTCTCTGATGGGTTTGTTTTGTTTTTTTAGCAATGATGGCTTGCTTTCACTGATAGTGACAGCTCTTTGGATCGCATCTTGAGAGTTGACAGCAACAGATTCCAAATGCAAATAGCACACTTGAAATGAACTCTGGGCCTTTTATCTGCTCATTGTAATTGGGATAATGAGTGGATAACACACACCTGGCCGTGGAACAGCTGAGAAGCCAATTGTCCCATTACTTTTGGTCCCTTAACAAGTGGGAGGTACATATGCAAACTGTTGTAATTCCTACACCGTTCACCTGATTTGGATGTAAATACCCTCAAATGAAAGCTGACAGTCTGCAGTTAAAGCAAATCTTGTTTGTTTCATTTCAAATCCATTGTGGTGGTGTATAGAGCCAAAAATGTTAGAATTGTGTCGATGTCCCAATATTTATGGACCTGACTGTATGTAAACACAGACAAGCATGATAATGTATGTCTAAGGACTCCCATGACTAGTGCAGAGGTGAGCGTCCATGCAGGATCCAGCGTCTGAAGTGACATTACAGGTCATTCCCTGTATCTGTGTGTGCACTGAATGAAGGAGTAGCTCCTGACATTATGTGATCTATACAAGAAATTAAAAAACCTACGCCAAAGAAATTAATACACCACAATCATTAAATGCTGCTGTTCAAAGATGAAAAAAAACATCAAAATATTATAATAAAACGCAGTGCAAAAAAAATGATATAAAATTAAGAAAAGTCCAGATAAGTTCCAAATAAAGTCTTGTGCTCCAAAGCAAAGAAGTGGTAGAAAAATATATAAATTTTCCAGCGTTCTCACCATCTGTGATATTCTATTTCACACACACTCACGAATCGATGAAAAATGCAAAAAAAAAAGAAAAACCAATAGTGTAATACTGCATGAAATACTGTGTTTTGTTTTCTGAGTTTGTTTTTTGAGTTTCATGCAGTATTACACTATTGGTTTTTCTTTTTTTTGTATTTTTGGATACGTGAGGGATCGTTCTGGAAGGTTACTAAGATTCGCCAAGTGAGATACACCTGTGGAGACCCCATCCAGCTCTAAGTCTGTTTTGATTCTTAAGCCACAATAGCTTGGGAATCCACTATATTTGGTGAATGTGGGTGAAATAGAATATCACAGATGATGTGAGCACACTGGAAAATGTATATATTTTTCTACCACGTTTTTTCGCTTTGCAGCACAATACTTTATTTTTTACTTATTTGGACTTTTCTTAATTTTATAATATTTTTTTTTTGCGCTGCGTTTTAATTATAATATTATGTGATCTATACCCCCCCGGCCCAAATAATAAAATTAAAATGTTCAATGTATGCCACAGTGTAAAGTCAACATTACCATAAGAATAATACTAATACAGCAACAGGAAAAGGTTACCTGACTTGTGAAGGCTTATTGACCGAAGATTTGGAAACAACCGTGACAAGGATTCCTCAGAGTCCCCGATCATCAATATATTGTTATTTGCAAGGACAAGAGTATGAAGACAAGGAAACATCATGCCTAATTTACAAATGTCAGACCAGTCCTGGAGATTGTTGTCTGTTATATGAAGAAGCCTCAACGAACGAAAGCAAACTGGTGAACTCACTATGGTGTCATAGTCATTAAGGCACAGAAACAGTTCCTCTAGGCTGAAAAAGAAAAAAATATAAATTTTTTTTGCCAATTTTGTTAAAAAAAAAAAAATCAGGATTTCATAAAACTTGTGTAGAGTCACAAAGAATTATGGAAATTATTATTTTACAATAGAAGTGGTTTTCAAACTGTCAGGTGGTCTTCCCCAGAGAGGCCGATTGTAATTAGTGAGCTGTGAGAAGTTTCCACAAGATCACATTTCTATATGTAGCACCCTCCTATATAGGTGTCAGATGTAGACAAATAGATTTAGTATGTGTTTTGATGATAGATAAATTTAGTTACCATACTGTAGTCAGTGTGACGGTGATTGCTTGTTAGTTAAATTCATAATTAGCTCACTGTACTCAGTGAAGCTGTATTCTGCTAGTTAGGTTTGCTCAGTTTGTTCTGCTGCTGCCAGTCTGATAGCTCCCTCTGCATCCAGAAAGCTTTACAGGTTTCTGGATAATATGTGTGGAGCTATGCAGATGGAAGCATGAATATTGATACATAACCTGGCCTATCCCAGAGAGGAAGGTCCTAATGGCATGCTGGGAGACTGTATATATTCAGTGAGCACACTGAGCTTGGGGTCTTTTCCTGGAGAGGATTAGTCCAGCATGAAGGGGGCACACTGCCCTTCCAGGCAATGATGCTATTGTGAGGCATCAACTGTGCAACCTAAGGGACTGGATACTGAGACTCAAGTACTGCCAAGAGCTGACTGAGGGGACGTCTACTAAAGATCTGGTCTGGCATCATAGAAGAAGAAAACCAGCTGTCTGGATGCGGCTTGTTGGAAGCTTCTTTAATAAAGAAAGACTTTACAAAAAAAAAGGCACACACCAAGGAATGTGAAGTAATTAGTCTCTGAAAAAGGACCCCCCCAACACCAAAATCTGCCCTTTGGCCAAACCCCGATCCACTCCACTTTGGAGAAGTCAGGATGTGACCCACAATATTCTTGCGAGGATGAAATCCCCTAGCCTCACACCAAGCAAAATAAGATTTCCAGGTTCTGTGGTAAACCATCCTTGAAGTCACCTGGTGCGCCTTCAGTAGGGTAGTCAAAGACTCCCGCCTCTCAAGACCCTGGCTTCAACAACCATGCTGTTAAAACCAGTTACTGGAAAGAAAACGCAACATTGGACCTTGAAATAGAAGGTCTGGTTGATCCGTAAGGATCCAAGGGTCACCTACCGACAATACCACCAGAGCATCCACCGCAAATGCTCAAGGGTCCGTGGTCCTGGAGATTAAACTGTACAGATTTTCAATGAACTTGGATGCTAGAAGATCCACATCTGGGGTTCCCCAACATCAACAGAGTACTTTGAACACCTCTAGGTGAAGCGTACATTCCCCAGAGATGGTTGTTGAAAGCTGAGAAAATCCACTTGCCAATTTTCCATGTCTGGAATGTGGAAAACAAACAGTGAGGGAACATGGAGTTCTGTCCAAGATAGGATGAGATCCATTTCCTTCTGAGCAGTCCAACTTCTGGTGTCTCCTTGATGATTTATGTACACCATTGCCATGGGGTTGCCTGAATGGACCCTTACAGGAAGACCCTTCAGCTGCACAGACCATTGTAGTAGAAAAAAGGCAAATCATCTTCAATGCCAGGATGTTGATGGACAAACGACCTCTCCTGCAGTGACCAAGTTCCTTGGACAGGTCTCCAAATTATGGCCCTCCAGCTTTTGAAGTACTACAAGTCCCATCATGCCTCTACCTCTGGGAATCTTGCCTGTGGCTGTCAGAGCCTTGCAAGACCTCATGGGACTTGCAGTTCAACACCTGGAGGGCCATAGTTTGGAGACCCCTGGTAGAACTTCACACCAGTCCATCAAGTTGGTGTCCATCGTGAGGACCCTCCAGGATTTAAGGAGGAATGATTTTCCCATCTCCAGCATCCGTGAGGCAATCCACCAGTCCAGAGACAATCTTGTATTGGGATTTTACAACATCGGGGGATTCCAACATTTGCTCCCTGTTCCATACTGCTAAGACAATCCGCTGGAGGGGCTGGAATGAAACTGGGCAATGCCTCGAAAGAGGCAACCATCTTTCCCAAAACCATCATGTGAAGTTGAATCAAGGAATTTGTTAAAGTTTTGAGCAAGACATTTGCTTGGAAGGAGGATCACTCCTGCCTAGATGGTATCCAGGGTCAGGACTAAATATTTCAACCTCTGGGTTGAGACTGAGGCTGACTTAGTAAAGGTGGCAGCATAACCCCATGATCATGTATATGAAGATGCTCTGTGCCCCATGATGTACAATAAAGAAAAAGAACATATATAATTTGCTACAGAAGGTTTTCTTGTACAACAAGGCTGAAGTTTGAGAGGAATAAGCAGTACAAGGAGACAGTTCATGTGCTGATAAGAAGAATGCTGATAGAGAGAGAAGACAGAGAAATGAATCATTATTGTGCTGTGCTTTTCGTTCATTGTCCAACCACAGGCTAAGGTGGGTCCCAAACACTCAACCCAGAAGTGGGTTGAATATCAGACTGGGGATATCTAGTGGAAGAGAAGTATTGTAGACAGGTGTGAGGTGAGTACTGCAGAAAACGCTTCTTTTTTATTTATTTAATGTGCTTTAATTTTTATCTGATGTTTTTGGCTGAATTTCTCATTTAAGCTAAAATCTGAGTTCTGGAATAATATGGCATATAAGTGTTTGGCACCGACATACCCAACACTGCAACATCAGAGTAGAACTGGCACCACCTACAAAATAAATGCAACGCTATAATACTTACTCTGGTAGCTCCAACAGCAGTATGTGGACTGTTTCCCAGGTAACTTTGCAGTTATTGAGAACCAGTTTACGAATACCAGAAAATGATCCAGCACACTCACGTTCCAACACAGACATGTATAATGGGTTAGAACTCAAATTCAAGAACTGCAGCTGAGGCACATTAGATACTATCTTGCTGACCTGTAAGTACAAACAAAAAGGCAAAAGATTAAGTGTGAGCATTATTACATTATGCTAACAAACCTGCCACATGCAAAGGTTTACTGTAATTTTCATAGACTTTGACACATCATAGGCCACTAAGGAGAACTACAGTACATGAAAGAAGGCACTGTTCCTATGTTTCAGTTATAAAAAGTTTACCGAATTTTGTGCAGACATGCCACATTCCATTATTGAACTCCAGCCACAAAAAATGCTGTTGCCACCCCAGATATTACCTTGTGAAAGTAGCAGTGCCATCCTCAATGTGCTGCACATACCTGGTACAGACAGCACAGCTGTGGGAGGGGCACAGCAGGTCCACCCACAACAAGTTGTCTACAGAAAACTACAGGATAGGCCAGATAAAAGACCAGTCACCCTGCACAAGGAAAGAGAGCAGCAGAAACCAGTCTTTATTACACAACACTCCTGCACATACATTGTGCAGAAGTTGTTTAATCCTTCATCACTGCATAGATCTGCATCTTGAAGAAATACACCCTGAAGTACAAGATTCAGGTAAGTACGTACATGATTTTTGTATTTAAAAAATATTTATTTTGCCTAAATTTCAGCTTTAACATCTAGCTCATCTACTGCTAAAATCTTTCCCTTCCTCTATACATGTAACTTGAAGATTATCCCCTCGCTACCTGTTCACTTTACACGTGTCGGCATATGAAGTGAAGTGAAATTAATTCAACAGGGACATGGTTAGCAAAATAAAAAACAGATCCCTAAATGTTTTTTTTTTTTGACAGAGGTTCTAAACCTTCTTTACTCAATCCAAAACACAAAATGCTTTATGTGGTCCTTGTCTTTCTAATCAAGGTATTGTTAACCTTCGCCCAATGGCCTAGTCATGTTTGATCAAGTATGGGGCGAGAAAAACTCTGGTCCCATGATGCAGTAGTAACTTCTGCATTCTACTGTCGGAGTTACTCTGTCAACCAGAATGATGTTATGCAGTGTGTGGTCAAAGATTTCAGGATGACATGTTTTAGAGAACACATTTGCTGCTTTGCCAATATAGGAAAGTAAACTTGTACAAGTTCAAAAACTCTTCATTTAAAATTCAATGTTTTGATTACATTAGGGTTCTCATTTACCTTGAAAATAAAAGCATATAATTGTATTAGCAAGTCACTTCTTTGGGCAGGTAACATGAAAGTAGCTTTTTTTTACATTTATCCAATAGCTTTTGTATGAGAACTTGTATACACAACCTACATCACTTCCTACACATTAGGTGTTAGCATAATTTGTGGATTACACATGCATATTTGGTGACATTCCTGTCTCATTGCCAGGCATCCAATTGTTTCAGAATGGTGATGTGGTTTACACACAGTGGGGTTGATTTTACTAAAGGTAAATATACTGTGCACTGTAAGTGCAGTTGCTCCAAAGCTTAGTAAATTAGGTAAAACTTCACTTTGCAAAGAACACCCAATCACAAGCAAGGAAAAAACAAACAAACAAACAGCATTTTTGCTTGCACATGATCCGATGATAGAAATTAGCAGAGCTCCCCCTCATTTCAGATCTTCCCCTCAGATCTAGAGCAAGTGCGCTTGAAGTGCACAGACTATTTGCCTTTAGTAAATCAACCCCATTTTCTGTTCGTTTTGATTCTCTGGTAAATAAAGGCTTGGATGAGAACAACATTCTATTCATGCTGTGAACAGTTTGATGTTTTCTCTTACCTCTTGCCAGCTGTCAAGCTGGTTACCAGACAGGTCTAATTCTGACACGTGTGAACAAAATGCAGCAATTTCATTCTCTTCTCCAGCATGGCTAATGCCACAACTGTTCAATACCAAGATACTGGGGAGATTCAAGCGATCTAAAACAGAATTTTAATCAACTGTTTAATGAGCTCTATTTATGATGTATTTGTTTATATTCAACTAATGTAAGTACATGAATTTGACTTGGTAATAGCCTTTTGCAATCCCCTATACGGCAGTACTTTCAAAAACCAGAAGCAGACAGGCTCTTTATTGCAGAAGAGACATGCAACCTTTTTCTCTTCTCCGTCATGGCTAAAGCCAAAACTGTTCAAAGTCCAAGATACTGGGGAGGTTTGAGCGATCTAAAACAGTGTCTTAATCAATTGTTTATTGAGCGCTAGTTATTAACACGTTTCATTAATTCTAGTCTAAAAAAAGATCTCACATTTTTCATTATGTGATTCCCCCCACTTAGCTTCATTATAGGTATTTTAATAAAAAAACTTTAAAACAACATAATGATGTGCATCAAATTCATGTATTGAAATAATTTCATTCATCCTGACACCACCCTAAAATGTTATCATGAAGAAGTGAAAACAATCCACAGAAATGTGCCACTTAAAGTGGTTCTAAAGGCTTGGGGCTTTTTTTTTTATCTTTAACAACTTGCCCTCCACAGGATTTACCCCCCTTCCTGACCAGGCCATTTTTTGCAATACGGCGCTGCGTTACTTTAACTGACAATTGCACGGTCATGCAACACTGCAACAAATGAAATTATGTCCTTTTTTCCCACAAATAGAGCTTTCTTTCGGTGGTATATGATCACTTCTGTGTTTTTTTATGTTTTGCGCTATAAACAAAAAAAAGACCAACAATTTGGAAAAAAAAACCTATATTTTTGACTTTTTGCTATTAAACGTCCAGTAAAATTTTTTTTAAAAAAAATCAAATTTCATTAATAAATTTCAGCCAAAATGTATTCTGTGACATACCTTAGCTAAAAAAAATCCCAATACGTGTAAATTAATTGGCTTACGTGAAAGTTATAGCGTTTGCAAATGGCGGTATATATAATGGATTTTTTTTTCTTTTAATAGTAATGGCAGAAATCAGTGACTTATAGCAGGACTGCGGCAGGCATCCTGACACAGGGGGATCTGACATCCCCAGTGACACTAATACAATAATCAGTGCTAATAAAAAGCACTGACACTGTACTAATGGCATAGGGCAGGAAGGGGTTAACATCTGGGGTGATCAAAGGGTTAACTGTGTGCTGTTCTACTATGTGCGTTGTGTGTGCTTTACAATGTAAGCACACTGCTTTGTATGGCTCTGCTATGCAGAGACATACAAAGCAGTGTGCTGGAGCTGACAGGGGAGAGATCTGTATTGTTTACATACAGGTCTCTCCCTTGTCGGTAATACTCGGAGATCACCGGGTGCCGGCAGGGGATTGACAGCTGAGGCCCGAATGGCGGTGTGGGAAGGACGCGCGCATGCCCCCTACCTGGAGCTGCACCTAAAGCTGCAAAATCACAATTATATATATGTGATTTTGCACACCTGTGCCACCCTGTAGCAGTATTTCTGCTATAGGACGGCGCGGAATTGGTTAAAATAAAAAACATGTCATACTTACCTGCTCTGTGCAATGGTTTTGCACAGAGCAGCCCCAATCCTTCTCTTGTCAGGTCCCCCACAGGTGCGTCTGGCCATTTCCCCTTGCCAAATGTCCCCAGAGCAGGCACTTCTGTATGCTTGCTCCTGAGCTGCCTCTATGTATCTATGGGGCACACATGGGGCTGTGTCTCAGCCAATGAGGAGAAAGAGACCCAAGAGAGCTGCTGCTCTCATGCACATAGCTGGATTGAGATCAGGTTCAGATAAGTATTAGGGGGGTTAAGGGGGGAGCTGTACCCTGAAGGTTTTTTCCTGTTCAAACCATTTATGATCCAGATCCAAGAGCCTGTAAAAAAGTCAATTTCAAGGATGCTGGTAACTACATGATATGTAAAATTGTCTCTTTTTTTAAAATATATTTTAGTAACTGTTCCAAAATCATTCTGTTGATTTTCTCAAGTTCAATCCTCAAAACAGAAATAGCAAAAGAGTGTAAAACCTGAATAACTATATATCCCATGCTTCACCATTGGAGCCAGGCTGTGGTTTTTGTATCTACTATTGTGAGGTGTAGTGAGATGCAGAATCATCACTACAGAGGGTCACCTCCCTGCCAAGGTCAGTGAAATACCAGCAACCGATGAGATCATCTTTATCCTCAACATGTTACTGATCAGCTTACGAGTATGCAAACAGAGACTGGCTGAGGGTACTAACCATTCCTCTCCAGTCTGAGCGGTGTTGTACAGCGGATTCCCAGAGGATGTTATAAAAGCATAATTGGGTACTTACATTTAGTTGCATTAAAAATACAAACGCAGAAATAAAAATACACGGTTTAAAGCAACTATGCATTCATTAATGTATTATGAAATGCATTTAGTTAAATGAAAGTAATGTAAGTACATGAATTTGACTTGGCATTAGCCTGTTGCAATCCTCTGTAGTGCAGAACTCAAAATAGAAAAGGGAGCGGATAGACAGGGTGGACAGACAGAAGACCTTGTTAAAGCAGAACTGGAAGCAGGTAGACTTTGTTTTGCTGAAGAGAAATGTCTTTCCTGCCTGCCAGCAGTCTTTTTTGAAATGTACGCTGAACTGTGCAAGTGCAGCTCTGTTTACCTTCCAGCACACTGCCTGTGTGCCAGGATGACTGCCCTACTGTGTATGTGCAGGAGTGACGTCATCCCGTGCCAGCCAATGAAGAATTTTTAATACATACTGCATATGAAATTCTTTATTATGCATGTCATTCATTTTAAAAGATTCATGCTTATTTTAGGGTTAGGTAGGGAAAGCAATGAAAAATAGACACAGGTGGCATCCTATCCCAGAAAGAACAAAAATTGCAAAAAACTTAATAAAAAAAATGTTCTTCCAGTGGTACTGTGTCCTAAATTGATTTATGCAAAACTAAAAAAAACAGATTCGTGCAAAATTTTAAATATTTAGATTTTCTGAGACAATCCAGGCACAAACGTGCTTAAAATGATTATCTACACTAAAAACACACTACTGTTATATGTACCCTAATTAAGAACAATAATGGAAAAAATGACAGAGTCCCATGCAATCAACATATTTAGGAGTAAAAGCTATTCTGGAAGAAAATATGGTGTTGTTAAATCCAGACTTTTTTGCTACACCAGTTGTGGAGAAACACGTAGCAATCTCCTGTATTGCAATGGGCAACATTGGTTATTTTGGTCTTCATACTTCATAAACTAATTGAATGATAATCATTTCTACTATACAGACACAACAATGCTGTACTGACAGTTGTTCACATGTAACAAAAGTGCCCAAATTCAATACATTTTCATACTTTATACTTTGTAATGTAGTTTTAAGGCAAGAAAGCAATAATTACTGTCCACAGCCCTATCCTTCTGGAGCTTGTGAAACACTGACATCTGCTGGGTATTTCAATACATGATTTATCCAAATGGAAGAGAACGCTTCCTACAAAGCGGGGTTAAGAAACCTTCAGCACTTCAGTTGTTGCAGAAATACAAGTCCCATGAGTCATCGCAAGACAAACAGCCACAGTCATGGCTTACTCAAAAAAGAAAGTTCCACTTTTCCTCCACTCTCTCCTCTGCCATATTCAGAACATTTTTTTTGGAGCCAGTACCTGGTTTTCACATTTGCCTAAGCGATCCGAGCAGAAGTTGCCCCCCCACCCCCACCCCTTCAGGACCATTCAAAAAACCACAGCGTGGCCTGCGCAGTGAGAAGCTGGCTGTGAAGCAGCAAGGTGTCACAGCCAGGTGCAGTTAAGACATTGTCATCAGGGACCTGAAGACCAGAGAACAACCAGCTTGGGTGAGGGCACCGCTGGGTCCTTGGACAGGTGAGGGTCTGTTGATTAAAAGTCAGCAGCTACGGGTTTTTTTTTTTTTCAGAACGGACTGAAGATCCTCTTTAACCTTCAGCAGGACAACTTAGTGAGTCAAAACACCCCCAATATGGTGAGAGGACATTGAACTAAAGCAAAAGAAAGATTAGATCATGCCTTGGCTCTCTCCTTGCTCCATCAGCACATGTGCATGCAGTACAGCATGACTTTCTTCAAATGCTTGACCTTCCACTCCAAACTTGACCCCTGTTGGACAGGGGATTACAGGAGGCTGATGTTAAAGAAGTATGACCAAAGCTTTTTTGGCCCTCATCCTATGGATCACAGGCATGCAGTTTGTCCTGCACTCCTGTGACCAGTTTTCACTCAGCTGGTCCAGGCTTTGAATCGATCCAGACTTTATAGTGGGGATCCACCAAGATCCATGCAAGCTGCTGAGAATCTGAGCTAGCTGTTCCTGTCCCTCCAAAAGGTCAGCGCTCCAGTGAGAAATGGAGGGGCAGAGAAGTCACCGGCTCTCTGCTCATTCAAAACTGACAACACAGCAATCAGTGGTTTTTAGGTGCTCAGTTCTCAGTCTTCAAAGCTGCGGAGGACAGATGCCCCAAATATGATTTTTTTTTTTTTTTTTAGGAACCCCATACTTTTAAAGTATCTGTAAACTCAACTCCTGAAAACTTATATAAACATTAAAATGTTTATTTAAAAAGTTAACATTTCTATATTCTTCATCTTTTATTAAAATAACTCTTGGTGACCCTGCCATTAAAGTCCATCTTAAGCCACTTTCAATTACATAACAGCAGTCTGTCTTCGAATTGTGCCCCTGCTTTGTTGCCCTGCCATTAGAGCTTCTTATGAAGACTTCAAGTGGCTATTTCAACACACATTACATGGGCATGATTCACGGTTATAAGAAACTTGCTCTGAAAAAACCATGCAGCCATGCAAGGAAGATCTAGCCATGGAAGATAAAGGACAGCAGCAGCACTGAGGTGCAACAAAGAATGGAAAAAAAGGTGAAAACAAGTACTTTGAAAACAACGGCAGCTGTTTACGATACACAATGCTATTAGGTATTACATCTATAAAGCAGCTATAGGTAGTTCATATCTCAGCCAGTTC